TGTAACACAAGCATCACAGTAATCTATACCTAGCAAAGCAAGCATGCAGGTATATATATATGTATAGATCACAGTACATGCAAAGTCTACAACAAGTGAGGAAAAGTGGGCACAAGAACTAGCAAATTGCAGAAACGCTGATGATCACCAGACTGAAGTGCCTTGGTGAATATATCAGCGGTGTTGGCCTGAGTGGCCACGTAACGCAGACGAAGCTGACCACGCTGCTGCAACTCTCGAGCCAGGAAGTAACATAGAGCGATGTGCTTCGTTATGTGCTCCAGTCTGTGCTCCTCACACAAGGCAATGGCTGCCTTGTTGTCGACGTACAGCACTGGAGGAGAACGAGGCCGCTCTCCCAGGTCGGTCAGCAGGTAGGTGAGCCAGCGTAACTCCTGTGCAGCCATGGCTGTGGCGTAGATCTCAGCCTCACAACTGGAGCTGAGAACTGAAGACGAACGCGTAGAACGCAACGAAACAGAGCCAGAGCCAAGGCTGAAGGTGTAACCTTGTGACGACCGCTGTGTAGCCTGGTCGTCAACCCAAGAAGCGTCTGAGTGCCCAGTGAGAACAACTGAGCTCCTCCCTCCAAGCACGAGCCCCATGCCCGATGTACTGCACAAGTAGCGCAATACCCTCTTTGCAGCATCCCAGTGCACCTTTCGGTGCCTACCAGGAGCCACGTAGCGGGCCAGAAGGCCAAGAGGGTACGCTAGGTCAGGACGAGTGCAAGTCATCAGGTACATGAGGCAGCCAACTAGCTCTAGGTAAGGACCACTCGGCTCTATGGACTCATCCGAAGGCAGAGCTGAGAGGGAGTGACCTGTAGCCTGAGGAGTGGCCTGTGCCGAGGACCAGGTGAAGCCGAAGCGCTGAAGGACCTGCTGCACCGTGTGTGACTGAGTCAGTGTGATGGTGCGGCATGCTCTGTCCCGGGTGATCTGCAAGCCAAGGTAGCTGCGCAGTTCACCCAGGTCTGTGCACGTGTGTCTCTTCTGCAGCTCCGACTTCACGTGGGCGAGAGCCTCAGTGTCAGCAGTGGCAAAGACCAAGTCGTCGACGTACACGAGGATGTAGAACGGCGGCAGCGACGTGTCGGTGCGCAGAAACAGCGACGGGTCAGCAGTAGAAGGCGCGAACCCAAGAGCCGCAAGAGTAGTCCCCAGTGTGTCGTGCCACTCACGTGGCGCCTGGCGGAGACTGTAGACCGGCCGCCGGAGGCTCCACTGGGTACCAGGAGGAAACGACCCAGAGAAGTTAGGAGGGCGGCGCAGCCAGATCTCCTCGTGCAGGCTGCCCTGCAAGAAGGCTGTGCTGAAGTCCAGAGAGTGAAGCTCGTAGTCACGCTGAGCGCCAACGTGCAGTAGCACCTGAAGAGTGGTCATCTTCGGGGTGGGGGAGAAGGTCTGGAAGAAGTCTACTCCCTCTCGCTGACTGAAGCCTCGAGCAACGTAACGAGCCTTGAAGACAGGCGGAGAACCTGGTGGCCGCTTCACCGTGAAAATCCACATGCCACTGACGATGTTCGCCCCAGGAGGGGGAACCTCGTCGACGTAAGTGCCAGTGGATTTCCAGGATGCCATCTCTGCGTCCATGGCTGACTGCCACTGAGAGGAGTACTCACCCGCGATCGCCTCAGCGTAAGAGCGCGGGGTCGGGATGTCTGGTGCATCCGGGTCTCCCTCAGGTGCAATCAGCATGGACACGAGATGAGGTACAGCAGCGGCAAAGCACTCAAACTCCTCGTGCCTGTCCTTAAGGACGTCCGTGCCTAGAGCACACTCACCCCCGACGGACGGAGGACAGACAGACTCAAACTCAGCAACAAGACTCGCGGCGTAGTCTAGACGACAGTGAGCAGCAAAGTCGACAAGCTCAGCAACTAGGGCAGACGCAGCAGCAGACTCAAAGGAAGGGTCAGTGACAGAAGTGGCCAGGAGACGCGTGACAGTAGGACTGGCAGCACGAAGAGAGTCAGACTCCGGGTCAGCAAGGGCAGGAAGAGAGGACACAGGAGGAGAAGGCAGAGGGACTCGCTGTGGAGCAGTGGAAAGACGAAGCGTCATCTGGTGAGTGCCTGGGACAGCAGGAGGACGCTGACGCGGGACACTACGACCAGTGCGGGCAGCACGAACAGGTGACGCAGAACGAGACTCAGGCGACACAGGACGAGACTCCGGCTCACGACGCTCCGTAAAACATACTGTCGGACCAGTGTAGGGAGAAGGACTAGGAAGTGACGAGGCGGGCTGGAACTGTGACTGCGACTGGACAGGTGGAGGACACTCTAAGGAGGGAGCAGGACAAGGAGGAGGAGGCTGACCAAGAACCTGCTAAAGGAGCGGAACGAAGTACGGCCGCGGTCGTGAAGCACCCTCAGAACCAGCAGAGACCGCACCAGAACCTCTAGTAGTAGCTCCAACTCCAGCAGTACTACCGGCAGCTCTAGTAGGGCCAACTCCAGCCGCACCGTCAGCTCCAGCACCTGCAGGACCAACCCCAGGGTCGTCAGCGACACCAACTCCAGTAGGCCCGGCGTCCTCAGCTCCACCGGCAGCTCCAGCAGCTCCAGCACCTGCAGCTCCAACTCCAGCACCAGCAGCACCTCCAGTAGCACCAGCTCCACCAGAACCCCCAGTCCCAGCAGCTCCAGTACCGCCTGTACGAGCACCTCCAGGACCAGAGGCTCCAGTACCTCCAGCAGCACCAGGGCCTCCTGCCGGTGGCACCCCAGTGCCAGGAGCGCCGCTCCGGAGGGTGCAGCGCCGAGCGTACCACTCACGCAGTCGCTGTGGGGAGGGAGGCGACGGCCGCGACCCAGCACCCGCAGCACCACTAGCGCCAACTCCGGCAGAACCCCCAGCTCAAGTAGCCCCACGCTGGACGATGTAACGCTGAGAGTACCACTCACGCAGCTGCTGTGAAGAGGGAGCGTCACCAGGCGCAGGGCGGTCAGTCTCAGCTCCCCCAGGCTCAGCACCCCCAGGCTCAGCACCCCCAGGCTCAGCACCCCCACGCTCAGCACCCCCAGTCTCAGCACCCCCAGGCTCAGCACCCCCAGGCTCAGCACCCCCAGTCTCAGTACCCCCAGTCTCAGTACCCCTCGCAGGACCAGAGTCGACAGCTACCTCCCAGGCTCGAGCGGGTCTACCTGGGAAACACTTGAGGGAGCAGGACCCTGGGGAGGGAGGGGGTCTACTGAAGCAGCACCTGGCGTGAGGAAGAGCAGCGGGGGGGGGAGCGGCGCAGTGCGGTAGGGGAACAGGCGGTAAAAGGGTACCGACTCGTCAAAAGTGACGTCCTCAGAGGGGAAGACACGGCGCGAGGTGGGGTGGTAAAACTGCCAGCCAGGCGCGTCAGGGACAAAGCCAAGAAAGACGCAGGGAACGGCACGGGAGGAGAGCTTGTCCGCTGACGTATCGCGGACAAAGGCTCGACATCCCCAGACTCGGAACACCGACGCATCGCCAACCTTCCCCATCCAACGCAGTGTGGGCGAGGTCTCCGGAGCAGAGACGCGGGGCCAGAGGTTGAGCTGATGCGCAGCGTACTGCACTGCAAACGGCCACAGGAAATGGGGGGCAGCCGCATGGATCATAGAGGTACGAGCGACTTCCATGACTAAGCCAATGCGGCGCTCAGCAATCCCATTCTGCTGTGGAGAGGCCGGCAGTGTGAACGTCTGGCGGATGCCGTGCTCCGCACAGTAGGCTGCTAAGATGTCTGAGGAAAACTCACCACCCCTGTCAGAGTGCAGACGCAGGACTGGAAAGTCCGACTGGAACCGGTCGCGGAGCTGGAGACGAGCAGCGCGGATCCAAGGGATCAAAACATCAGGGACCTCACCCTTGGTGCGCAAGGGGAAGACCATGGTGTAGCGCGTGTAGTCGTCGACGACCAGCATGAAGTACCGCTCGTGGCCCTGTCCACGGACGCGGGCTGGGCCCCACACGTCCAGGTGGAGAGTCTGCAGAGGAGCCTCTGTGGGAGGGAACGAGGAGGAGTGAGGAGTGGCGCGCTGCCGCCCCTCGACACAGGGAAGACAGGGAGGAGCAGGCAAGGGTGGGAGAGGAGGGAGAACCCTGGGAAGACCAGAGACAAGGTACCGGGAGTGCATGCCACGAAGGTGCTGCACTGAGGGGTGACCAAGGCGGTGGTGCCAGAGGACAGTCTGGTGCGACAGGGTGCGACACGAGCAGGGGGCCGATAGCTGACCTGACGCAGACGCAGACGCAGCTACCTGAGGGGACTCAGTGGTCAGTGTGTACAGGTCCGACCCCGGCTGCCGAGTAAAGGTAGCCAGGTGGCGACCCGTCCGAGCACACGTACAGTGGGTCACACGCTCATAGGCAGGGGTGAACTGGTGAACACCCCCGTCCTGGAGAGCAGAGCCCGCCACCAAGTTCGTAGAGAACGAGGGGAGGTAAAGACCCGACAGGGTGCCGGCCGGAACCGCCGGACAAGGAAGGACAGTGGAGGAGGTCGCAAGGACTGGACCCCCAGAGGGGTCAGCGAGAGAGACAGCAACTGGTCGAGCTAGCTGCTCAAGAACAGTGCGGTCACGAAAGAAGCAGCGGGAAGCACCCGAGTCCAGTGTGAAGGTGTGCAGTGTCTCAGTAGACGCAGTACCAGCAGGCGCAGACTCACAAGCACCTGGAGCAGCAGACTCACTGGCACCTAGAGCAGCAGCCTCACCAGGACCTAGGGCAGCAGACGCACTAGCACCTAGAGCGGCAGTCTCACTGGTCCCAATACCCGGGTCGGGCGGTACACTCAGGTAGCAGTCACCCTCAACACTAATAGTCAATGCATACATGGCACCAAGGATAGCATCATAATCAAGAGCAAAGATATCAATTCCCTTCTTAAGCAGATCAGCCCAGCGGGGCAGCTCAGAGGCGTCAGGGAACTGCTCGCGCCAGGCGTCGTCGAGACGAAAGAAGCAGCGCTGCGCCGTGTGAATCCTTCCACAGGTCTGGCCAGTGCGGTCACCTGTGCGGATGACGTACGGGCAGGTACCTCCACCCCCAGACCCCCCACGCTGAGAGTACCACTCACGGAGCTGCTGGGGCGAGGGAGTCTCGCCGGGACGCTGCTGCTGCTGCCTCTGGCGATGGTGGTGCTGCTGCGGATGCTGGTGCTGCTGGTGTGGTGAGGGAGGGAGGGGTAGATGCTGGAGGTGACAAAGAGGGGCAAGGTGGGGGAGTGGGAGAGAGGAACGAAAGAGAGAAGGGGACAGCAGAGGAGGGAGAGGGAGCCGAGGGGTCTGATAATGGAGCGAAGGAAGGTTTGAGGAAAGAGCAGCAAAGGGAGGGAGGTCCAGAGAGCAAAGCAGCAGACAGAGAAGGGAAAGAGCACCCAGAAGCACCAGCAGCGCACCCCTCCAAGGCACACACAAGCAGCCCTGCAGCAGCTGATGTTGCAGCTGCCAGCACAAACAACGCCTCTTCAACTCCCTCATCAGCGGCAGCTGCAACGCCAGCAGGAGCAGCGGCAGCAGGGAACGGTCTCAGTGGCTCAAAACGGAGCTTCTCCCTCTTCTCCTCTCCTCCCGAGGTCCTAGGCACCACCAGCACCACTTCTGAAACCCAGTGGGCGCTGCCTCAGAGTGCGTTGGCGCACGTGCATCGGAAGGGAAAGGGGCCGAGAGACACGTACCGGTGGACCCAGTACGTTCCGCCCCTCCCTCTTGATCAACTCCGCTCCCATGGCTGCCCTCTCCCTACTTCCTTAACCAAGGTACGCCTTAAGAACCCAAGAAGGTATACATTTAGAGTCCTAATGGGTTCTGCCTCGGAGTGTGTCAGCGCACGTGCATGGGAAGGGCAAGGGGCCGAGAGACACGTACCGGTGGACCCATTGCGTTCCTCCTCTCCCTCTTGATCAACTCCGCTCCCACAACTGCCCTCTCCCCACCGCTTTCACCAAGGTACGCCCTTGAGGGTCTCAGTGGGCTCTGCTGCCTCAGAGTGCGTTGGTCCACGTGCATGGGAAGGGCAAGGGGCTGAGAGACACGTACCGGTGGACCCAGTGCGTTCCTCCTCTCCCTCTCGACCAGCTTCGCTCCCATGGCTGCCCTCTCCCTGCTTCCTTCACCAAGGTACGCCTTTAGAGCCCAAGAAGGTATACATTTAGAGTCCCAATGGGTTCTGCCTCGGAGTGTGTCAGCGCACGTGCATGGGAAGGGAAAGGGGCTGAGAGACACGTACCGGTGGACCCAGTGCGTTCCGCCCCTCCCTCTTGATCAACTCCGCTCCCATGGCTGCCCTCTCCCTGCTTCCTTAACCAAGGTACGCCTTTAGAACCCAAGAAGGTATACATTTAGAGTCTTAATGGTTTCTGCCTAGGAGTGTGTCAGCGCACGTGCATGGGAAGGGCAAGGGGCCGAGAGACACGTACCGGTGGACCCAGTGAGTTCCTCCTCTCCCTCTTGATCAACTCCGCTCCTACGGCTGCCCTCTCCCCACCGCTTTCACCAAGGTACGCCCTTGAGGGTCTCAGTGGGCTCTGCTACCTCAGAGTGCGTTGGTCCACGTGCATGGGAAGGGCAAGGGGCTGAGAGACACGTATCGGTGGACCCAGTGCGTTCCTCCTCTCCCTCTCGACCAGCTTCGCTCCCATGTCTGCCCTCTCCCTGCTTCCTTCACCAAGGTACGCCTTTAGAGCCCAAGAAGGTATACATTTAGAGTCCCAATGGGTTTTGCCACGGAGTGTGTCAACGCACGTGCATGGGAAGGGAAAGGAGCCGAGAGACACGTACCGGTGGACCCAGTGCGTTCCTCCTCTCCCTCTTGATCAACTCCGCTCCCACGGCTGCCCTCTCCCCACCGCTTTTACCAAGGTACGCCTTTTAAGGTCTCAGTGGGCTCTGCTGCCTCTGAATGCGTTGGCACACGTGCAAGGCGCCCTCTCCCTGCCACCTTCACCAAGCTGTGCACTCTTCCTCCTCTTACCTGCCCTTTCTGAAAACGTCTCAAATCAGGATAAACTTTCCCACTCGACCATCCTAACTCCCACGACTGCCCTCTCCCCGCCCCCTGCCATTCCCACGTTCCCTGCCCTTCCCTTGCTGCTGTTTTAGATCCTCGAGTCCAGTCTGCCATGGGACGAGGTGCAGTGCGCAGCACCAGGGGGGGTGTGGGTGCGAAGTGATAATAAAAGTGTTTCGAGGCGTCTCAGAACGCTTTTATTATCACGTGGTCTGCCATCGGACGAGGTGCAGTGGGCAGCACCAGGGGGGGTGTGCGTGTGGGTGCCCCTACAGCTGCATGGGAACTGCATTACCACTCATTTTCTCTTGCCTTGCATCTGCCTTCCTTCCCATGCTTCAGATCTGCGAGTTTGTCTGCCGTGGGACGAGGTGCAGTGGGTGCCAGGGGGAGTGTGGGTGAGGGGGCTACATGATGGTCATAATTTGCCCTTGCCTTTTGAATCGACTCAAAAGTCACCTCGTCAGAAGTCACCTTTGGAGTCGACTCAAAAGTCATCTCGTCAAAGGTCACCTTTTGAGTCGACTGAAAAGCCGCCTCGTCAAAAGTCACCTTTTGAGTTGACTCACAAGTGTGGGTGAGGGGGCTGCATCATGGTCATCATGCACCCTTGCCTTTTGCTCTCTTCCTTTCCTGTGCCTTCTTTCTCCTGTTCAGATCCTTGAAAGTGGCCTGGCATGGGACGAGGTGCAGTGGGAGCCATGGGGGTTGTGGGTGAGGGGGTTGCATTACCCTATTGTCAGGGCCCACTTCATGCCCCGCAAATCATTTTCCTTGCGTTAGCTCCTTCTGTCACTGTTACAAGGTGTTTCGGTGTACACAGTTCACACTGCAGATATACGTATGTGCAATATATGTGTGGCCTGGGCTACACTACCCAATCGTATGCCGTGCCCATCCCATGGCTCGCATATCCTTCTCCTCGCGATATACCGTATGTGTGCCCTGGAATCCAGTACCCTGTGGTCATTATGGCCCACTTCAAGCCTCGCAATTCCTTCTCCTCTCGTTAGAATTCTTGAAAGTGGCTTTGCGTGGAACGAGGTGCAATGGGCGCCAGGGGGGGTGTAGGTGACAGGGGGGCCTACACTACCTCATCGTTAGGGCCCACTTCATGCCTCGCAAAACCTTCTCCTTGCGTTAGCTCCTTCTGTCGCTGTTACAAGGTGTTTCGGTGTACACAATGCACACTGCAGATATACGTATGTGCAATATATGTGTGCCCTGGGCTACACTACCCCGTCGTATGCCGTGCCCATCCCATGGCACCAAAATCCTCCTCCTCACAATACACCAAATGTGTGCCCAGGACTCCAATACCCTATGGTCATTAGGATGGTTTTAGCTCAATTTATGCATAACGCAGGTACAACGCATCTGCTCTTTACCTTGTTGAGTACACTAATTTGACACTAGTAAGTTTATTATCCTAAAGCGACACCACACCATCAAACCATCTCAAGCACACGGGGTATGGTATGACCCAAACTAAGCACTTTATCCAAATACAGTAGCTGTCAGAAACAACTAGCAGTAATGAATGGACTAGGTCAAGGTTTGGTACAAGTATGAAACCCTAAAGGGGCTATACCCCATACTAGCTACCCCACTACAGCCTACACATATGTAGCACATATATAATTAAACACACCCTTATAAGCAAAGTGGGGGAGAGAAAGGGGTCACAAGACCAGTCAAGAAAAGCAAAGCAAGCTCAGGGTGGATCACAACGTCACCACACACACTGAGCAAAAGCAAAGGGCCACAAGGCCAGTTCACATGCAGAGGTATATATATCAACAACAGCACAGTGATCACTACCTAGCAAGAGCAAGCATGCAAGTATATATATATATAGGTCACTGTACACGCAAAGTCCACAGCAAGTGAGGAAACGTAGGCACAAGGCCTAACAAAGTACAAAACCGCTGATGATCACCAGACGGAAGTGCCTTGGTGAATATATCAGCAGTGTTGGCCCGAGTGGCCACGTGAGCAAGACGAAGCTGACCACGCTGCAGCAACTCTCGAGCAAAGAAGTAACGCAGAGCGATGTGCTTCGTTCTGTGCTCCAGTCTGTGCTCCTGACACAAGGCAATGGCGGCCTTGTTGTCTACGTACAGAACTGGAGGAGAACGAGGCCGCTCTCCCAAGTCGGTCAGTAGGTAGGTGAGCCAGCATAGCTCCTGTGCAGCCATGGCTGTGGCGTAGATCTCAGCCTCACAACTGGAGCTGAGAACAGAAAACGAGCATGTAGACCGCCACGAAACAGAGCCAGAGCAAGGCTGAAGGTGTAACCCTTTGACGACAGCTGCTTAGCTAGGTCGTCAAACCCAGAAGCGTCTGAGTGCCCAGTGAGGGCAACTGGGCTCCGCCCTCCAAGCACAATCCCCATGCCCAACGTACTGCACAAGTAGCGCAGTACCCTCTTAGCAGCATCCATGTGCACCTTTCGGTGCCTACCAGGAGCCACGTAGCGAGCCAAAAGGCCAAGAGGGTACGCAAGGTCAGGTCGAGTGCAGGTCATCAGGTACATGAGGCAGCAAGAATTGCATCATAGTCAAGATCAAAGATAGGAACATCACGCCTAAGCAGGTCTGCCCAAGGGGGGAACTCATTAGCCTCAGGAAACTTGGCGCGCCAGGTGTCGCTGAGCCGAGAGAAGCAGCGGTACTCCGTGTGAAAGCCGGTGCATGGGCGACCAGCGCGGGGACCTGTGCGAATGATATAGGTGCAGTGAACAGGACCCCCAGACGCCCCACGCTGAGCGTACCAGTCATGAAGCTGCTGAGACGTGGGGGTCTGACGCTGACGCTGCTGCTGCTGCTGCTGCTGTCCCTGGCCACCACTGGAGCTCCCCTTCTGGCCGGCTCCACTCCAGCCCCCACCACCACTGCCACCACCGCTCCCTCCTCCCCCACTCCCGCCGCTGCCACCTCCACTGCCCCCGGTACCCCCGCCGCCCCCACCACCACCTCCACCCCCACGACCACCCCCACCACCTCCACCACCCCCGCCGCCTCCACCACTGCCCCCTCCACCGCCAGCTCCACCTCCCCTGCCACCCTTGTTGCCCCTGGCGCTGCGGCGCTTCCCACTAGGAGCGGAAGCAGCCCCGACCTCCTCAGCACCAAGGTAGTCTAGAGCAGCAGCAGCAGAGGCGTAGGAGGGGGCAAGAGGGGAGGGGGAGCACCCCTCAAAGAGGGGAGTGTGAGGAGTGACACGAGCAGCACCTACAGCGAGAATGTTCTTTTTGGCTGCTAGGAGGTGCGTCTCGAAGTCGGCGACAGTGAGAGTGGTCGGGTCTAGGGCGAGAAAGTGGTCCCTGACTGAGCGAAGAGTGTCACGGAGGCAGGTGATGAGGAAGTAGAGAGTAAAGTACATCGGGGGGGTGATTCTCGGCGAGGAACTCATTTGAAAGGGCGGCACGAAAGCGAGCGTCACTAGTGCGGAGGTGAGAGATGAGGTCCTCAGCGGTGGTAAACGAGGACAGGTCGGGGAACAGGTAGGGTAGCATAAGACGACCTAGGGCTGCAGTGGCTGGGGAAGAGTAGCGGGCAACTACTGCCTCATACAGTGCCTTAGCAGTCTTGTGCTGACTAAAGTGCGCGCGCTTAGTGATCGGCAGATGGTTGCGAATAGCGAGGCGCGCAGCAGCATCATGAGTCTGCCCCTGTGAGCGGTCAAGAGCGGCAGCTGTGTCAGCAGGAGCAACGGAAGTGCCAGACGCGTGATCGAACAGTGAAACTCCGTCTTTGGCATCAGTCATAAGAAACAGTTGCAGATCGTCGAGCCAAGTGGCAAGCTCTATCGGGCGACCGTCAGGATCGAAAGCGAGGACATTTAGAGTCGCCATGATTGCAGCGCAGGCAAGAGTAGCGCGCAGGCGACAAAGCAGAGTGCAGGCCAGAAGAAGCTGCGCGCAAGGCTGCAGTGGCGGCGCACGAGCTGCTGGGGCGGCGCGCAAGTGGCTGGAGCAGGCGGCGCGCTCGGGACTAGGGAAGCGCGCGCTGGCAAGGCAGAGGCGCGCGCGGGCAGCGCAGCGCAGGCAAGGCAGGGCGCGCGCGGGCAGCGCAGCGCAGGCACAACGTGGGGCAGCTCAGTAATCGCAACGGTAGGTGGGCCCTAAAAAAAATCGGTCCTACGGACCTACTGCTCTAAATACCATGTCGGAAATAACTAGCAGGAATGAGAAACTGGCGAAGAGGATTGCACTAGCAAGCAGGTGGATACACATAGGAAACCCTAAGGGGTCGTACTCACTACAGAGTACCCCACTGCAGGCTAGACAAACTACACATTCTGACACCAACTCTGAAATTTCATTCAATCAAAATAGCCTGAAAAGTCAGCCATAATCCACAGGAAGTTGATAACCTTGGACAGTGTTTCTCCTAGCTGATAACCTTTGCATACTAGCAAGTATTTATCAGACCCAATCATCTATTCCTCTACCTTTTCCTTCCCCTTGGCCTTGGGCAGGCACGTGAGCTTGTGCGTGGGCCAGTGGGCCTTCTGGCACTCCCTGCTGCAGTAGGCAGCCTTGCCACACCGCGAGCATAGCTTCAGCTGCACCCCCGCCCCTTCCACCTTGCCACACTGTGCCGACACACACCCACGCTGCCCTCCCTTGCCACCGTGCCCTTCACCAGGGGCAGCAGCAGCAGCAGCAGTGGCGGCGGCGGCGTCGGCAGCAGCAGTGTCGGCAGCAGCACCAGCGGCAGCAGCAGCAGCAAGGGCATCCACGTGGGCCTGGGGGCAGTAGCTGGTCTCCCCCAGCAGCATCTCCCTCAAACACGCCAGAGGACTCACCCCCCCCCAGCCATGGCACCAGGTACCACGCCCCTGTCCTCCCCTTCTGCCCCTTCCCAGCGTCTTTAATTGCACGCATCATGCCCTCACAGCACTCCTCCGACACCTCCCCCTGCACACGCCCCCTCCCTTTACCTGCGCCCATCTGCAGCGGTGAGTCATGCGCCTCCACCGCAGGCCATGCGTTGCCAGCCGCCATGTGCCAGCTGTCCACCTCCTCCCACATCCTCCACTCCTCCTCCCCCTGCTGCTGCTGCTGCTGCTGCTTCTCCCCCTCCACCTGCCCGCCCGCATCGGTGCTGACGGGTTCCAGAATGGCCGGAAGGGCATTTTCCTTAGTGAGAAGCAGCGTGTTCATGTAGAGCAGCATCAGCCGATGCTCCTCCATCACGCCTTCCAGCAGCGCCGCCACCAGTGAGTCAGAAACCACCGCAGGGAGCGGCCGCCCAGATTCTCCAGGAGCTCTCTGAAGCGGGACGAGCGGGCCGGGAAGAGCGAGAGGAGGCAGCGCAGCAGCGCGGACGAGGGGCGGTAGGCGAAGGACGCAATGAGCGAGGTGTAGTTTATAGCCAGGTAGTACATGCAAATGCAGCGGTGGCAGCGGCTGCAGGCAGGAATGGGAGAAATGGCGTTTGCGATCAGCTTTATAGACACATCCACCTCAGCTTCGGACCGTAGGATGGGCTTTATCCTTCCATGAGAATACTTCCCCAGAGCCAGAGCAGCCCACGTGTGATCCCCGAGGCCCGAGCGCCCAGCCCAGGAGGTGATAGCCCTGGCCAGAGGCCCGTTCCTGCCCTCCCTTGCCAGCCTTGCAGGCGCGAACCTTCTCAGAAACTCCTCCACACAATGGCCCAGCGTGGGGAAGACGGGACCACTTGTGTTGACCTGCACAGTGATCTCGCCACCAGGAAGGTGATGAGAGCGAACCGTGAAGGAGTCCACGTGGGCCGGGGGCGGGTAGAACTCCCTCACGTTGTACTCCTTCTGCATCTCCTCCTTGTCCAACTTGTGAATCAAGAAAAACAGGAAAAATGGAATGACTAAGGGAAAGTTGGGTACAAATGCAAACCCTAGGAAAACTGTACCCCATATGTGCTACCCCACTATAGCCTACAGTAGCTATGTCATATAAATCTGACACACCCCCATAGGCAAAGTGGGGGAGAACAAGGGGTCACAAGACCAGTCAAGCAAAGCAAAGCAAGCTCAGGGTGGATCACAAAGTCACCACACATTCCGAGCACAAGTTCAAGGCCACAAGGCCAGTTCACATGCAGGATTACATATATATATAAGGCTAGACAAGCAAGAGCAGGTGTATATATATATGCAACCGTACAAACAAGGTCAAGGGGTGAGCAAGTGAGGCAAGGTAGGCACAAGACCCAGCTGAGTACAGAAGCGCTGATGATCACAAGGCGCAAGTGCCTTGGTGAAGATATCAGCAGTGTTGGCCTCAGAGGCCACGTACGCAAGCCGCAGCTGACCACGCTGCTGTAGCTCACGAGCAAGGAAGTAGCGGAGAGCAATGTGCTTCGTTCTGTGCTCCAGTCTCTGCTCTCGACACAAGGCCAGCATGGCCTTGTTGTCTACGTACAGTACTGGAGGAGAACGAGGCGGCTCTCCGAGGTCAGTCAGCAGGTAGGTGAGCCAGCGAAGCTCCTGTGCAGCCATGGCCCCGGCGTAGATCTCAGCCTCACAACTAGAGCCGAGAACAGAAGACGAGCGGGTAGCCCGCCACGAAACAGAGCCGGAACCAAGGCTGAAGGTGTAACCCTGTGACGACCGCTGCGTAGCCTGGTCGTCAGCCCAAGAAGCGTCTGCGTGCCCAGTGAGGACCACTGGACTCTGCCCTCCAAGCACAAGCCCCATGCCCGACGTACTGCACAAGTAGCGCAACACCCTCTTCGCTGCAGCCATGTGCTCCGGTCTGTGTCTCCCAGGAGCAACATAGCGTGCAAGAATGCTAAGAGGGTATGCAAGGTCAGGTCGTGTGCAGGTCATCAGGTACATGAGGCAGCCAACAAGCTCTGGGTACGGGCCACTCGACTCTACGGACTCATCCGAAGGCAGAGCTGAGAGCGAGTGGCGAGTAGGCAGAGGAGTGGCCTGAGGCGAGGAGTACGTGAAGCCGAAGCGCTGAAGGACCTGCTGCACCATGTGTGACTGAGTCAGGGTAATGGTGCGGCGTGCTCTGTCCCGGGTGATCTGCAAGCCAAGGTAGCTACGCAGTTCACCCAGGTCTGTGCACGTGTGTCTCTTCTGCAGCTCGGACTTCACGTGGGCGAGTCCAGCAGTGTCAGCTGTGGCGAAGACCAAGTCGTCGACGTACACGAGGATGTAGAACGGCGGCAAAGAAGTGTCGGTGCGCAGAAACAGCGACGGGTCGGCAGTAGAGGGAGCAAACCCAAGAGCCGCAAGTGTAGTCCTCAGTGTGTCGTGCCACTCACGCGGTGCCTGGCGGAGACCGTAGACTGGCCGCCGGAGGCTCCACTGGGTGCCAGGAGGAAAGGACCCAGTGAAGCCAGGTGGGCGACGCAGCCAGATCTCCTCGTGCAGGCTGCCCTGCAAGAAAGCAGTGCTGAAGTCAAGAGAGTGCAGCTCGTAGTCGCGGTGAGCAGCTATGTGCAGCAGTACCCGAAGAGTGGTCATCTTCGGGGTGGGAGAGAAGGTCTGAAAGTAGTCAACTCCCTGCCGCTGACTGAAGCCACGAGCCACGTAACGCGCCTTGAAGACAGGCGGAGAACCCGGCGGCCGCTTCACCCTGAAAATCCACATGCCACTGACGATGTTCGCCCCAGGCGGGGGAACCTCGTCAACGTAGGTGCCTGTGGACTTCCAGGAAGCCATCTCTGCGTCCATAGCTGCCTGCCACTGAGAAGAGTAGGGACCCTCTATCGCCTCCGCGTAAGAGCGCGGAGTCGGGATGTCAAGTGCATCCGGGTCTCCCTCAGGGGTAAGCAGTACGGACACGAGACGAGGTGAAGCAGCAGCCAAACACTGGAACTCCTCCTGCCTGTCCTCAAGGACGTCCGTGCCAAGGGCACACTCACCCCCGACGGACGGAGGACAGACAGACTCAGACTCAGCAACAAGACTAGCAGCGTAGTCTAGACGACAGCGAGCAGCAAAGTCGACGAGCTCAGTAACTAGGGCAGACGTAGCAGTGGACTCAAAGGAAGGGTCAGTGACAACAGTAGCAAGGAGACGCGTGACAGTAGGACTGGCAGCACGAAGAGAGTCCGACTCCGGGTCAGGAAGAGCAGGAAGAGAGGACTCAGGAGGAGAAGGCAAAGGGGCACGCAGAGGAGCAGTGGACGGACGTAGAGACATCCGGTGCGTGCCAGGGACAGGAGGAGGACGCTGACGCAAACCACGACCACTAGTGCGAGCAGCACGGACAGGCGACGCAGGGCGAGACGCAGGCTCACGACGCTCAGCAAGACCTCCAGTAGGACCAGTGTAGGGAGAAGGAGCGGGCAGTGGGGAGGCCGGCTGTAACTGTAACTGTGACGGGACAGGCTGTGGACACGCTAAGGGAGGAGGAGGACCAGTAGAAGGCGGGAGACCAAGAACCTGCTGAAGGAGCGGAACGAAGTACGGCCGAGGCCGCGCGGCGACTCCAGACACAGCAGGGACAGCACCAGTACCCCCAGCGGCAGCACCAGCGCCAGCAGCACCTCCAGCTCCAGTACCTCCAGCAGCACCAGTAGCACCCCCAGCAGGACCGCCTCCAGGACCGACAGCAGTAGCCTCAGCGCCAACACCCTCAGCAGCTCCAGCTCCAGTCGTACCCGCAGGCCCAGCAGCTCCAGTACTCCCAGTACGAGCACCTCCGGGACCCGCGGCACCAGCACCCTCAGCAGCCGAAGAACCTCCAGCTCCAGCAGCACGCCTCCAGCGCCGGGCAAACCACTCGCGCAGCTCCTGTGGAGAGAGTGGCTCCCGCCGAGACGAAGCACTCGGAGAACCTCCAGGCTCAGCACCGCCAGACGCCACACGAGCAGGCCCAGCTCCCTCAGGCTCCACACCCCCAGGCTCAGCACCTCCAGGCGTAGTACCCCCAGGCTCAGCACCCCCAGGCTCAGCACCCCCAGTAGTAGCACCCCCAGGCTCAGCACCCCCAGGCTCAGGACCCCCAGTAGTAGCACCCTCAGGCTCAGCACCCCCAGGCGTAGCACCCACACGCTCAGCACCCCCAGAGTCAGCACCCCCAGGCTCAGCACCCTCAGCAGCACCAGAGTCACCAGTAACCTCGACAGGCTCGACTGCGTCTACCTGGGACACACCTGAAGGGGCAGGACCCTGAGGGGGGAGGGGGTCTACCGGGGGGGGACCTGGGACAAGGAAGAGCGGTGGCGGGGGGAGGGACGGAGTGCGGTAGGGGAAGAGGCGGTAGTAGGGGACCGACTCGTCAAACGTGACGTCCTGGGAGGACAAGACACGGCGAGAGGTGGGGTGGTAGAACTGCCACCCTGGCGCGTCAGGGGGGAAGCCAAGGAAGACGCAAGGAGCAGCACGAGGGGACAGCTTGTCCGCAGACAAGTCGCGGACAAACGCCCGAGATCCCCAGACACGGAACGCAGACGCATCGCCAACCTTCCCCGACCACAGCAAAGCTGGGGAGGTCTCCGGCATGGAGGCCCTGGGGTGAAGGTTGATCTGATGCGCCGCGTACCGAACCGCAAACGGCCACAGAAAATGGGGGGCAGCCGCATGCATCATGGACGTACGGGCGACGTCCATGACCATGCCAATGCGGCGCTCAGCAATCCCATTTTGCTGTGGAGAGTCCGGAAGCGTGAAGGTCTGGCGGATGCCTCGTGCACGACAGTAGGCTCGCAGAAGGCCAGAGGAGAACTCTCCACCTCTGTCAGAGTGCAGACGCTGAACAGGAAAGTCCGAGCCGAAGCTCTGCCTGAGCTGGAGACGAGCTGCGCGGATCCAGTCGATCAACACCTCAGTGACATCACCCTTGCTGCGCAAGGGGAAGACTGTGGTGTAACGCGAGTAGTCGTCAACCACCAGCAGGAAGTAGCGCTCGTGACCCTGTCCACGGACGCGGGCCGGGCCCCACACGTCCATGTGAAGCGTCTGCAGCGGGGCCTCTGTCGGAGGAAACTGGGAGGAGTGAGGGGCAGCCCGCTGCCGCCCCTCGACACAGGGGACGCAGGTAGGGCCAGGCCCCGGAGGAAGGGGAGGGAGGGACCGGGGAAGACCAGAGACAAGGACACGGGAGGCCATGCTTCGGAGACGAAGCAGGGAGGGGTGACCAAGGCGGTGGTGCCAGAGGAGAGTCTCGTGAGACAGGAGGCGACACGAACAGGGGGCAGACTCAGGACCAGACCTGGACGCCGCAGCAAACACCTGACCCGACGTAACTACCTGACCAGACGCAGTGACTGGAGGAGACGCAGTGGTCAGGGTGTACAGGCTCGACCCCGGCCGACGGGTAAACGTGGCCAGGTGTCGGCCTGTCCGAGCGTCCGTGCAGTGGGTCACCCGCCGACTCGCAGGAGTGAACTGGTGAACCCCCGCATCCTGTAGGTCAGCACCACTCACCAAGTTCGTAGAGAACGAGGGAAGGTAAAGACCAGACAGGGTGCCAGAGGGGGCCGCCGGACACGGGAGGACAGTGGAGAAGTGAGCAAGGACAGGACCCCCAGAGGGGTCTGCCAGAGAGACTGCAACTGGCCGGCTAAGCGGCGTGAGTGTGGTGCGGTCTCGAAAGAAGGAGCGAGAAGCCCCCGAGTCAAGGGTGAAGGTGTGGGAGGCCGAAGCCGACGCAGAACCTGAGAGAGCAGACTCACCAGCACCTGAGGGAGCAGACGCACCTAGAGCAGCAGCCTCGCTAGCACCTAGAGCAGCAGCCTCACCAGTACCTAGAGCAGCAGTCTCAATGCCCGGGTTGGGCGGAAAACACCGGTAACAGTCACCCTCATCACTAATAGTCACAGTATACATGGCAGCAAGAAGAGCATCAAAGTCAAGGTCAAAGACAGCCACACCCGCCCTAGACAGCTCACCCCAGCGGGGGATCTCAGTGGCCTCAGGGAACTGGTGACGCCAAGAGTCCGTCAGGCGGCCAAAGCAGCGCTGGGTGGAGTGCGCACCCCCGCACTGCTCACCCGCGCGGTCGCCGGTGCGGAGGACGTAGGTGCACGGACCAGTACCCCCACCCCTCTGGCGTGCAGTGTACCACTCACGGAGCTGCTGAGGGGAGGGGATGTCACGAGTGCGCTGCTGGTGCTGCTGCTGCTGCTGGCGCTGACCACCATCGGAGCCGACCCTCTGCGCAGCGCCACCCCGACCAGCTCCACCTCCTCCGCCGCCTCCTCCTCCACCGCCGCCACCTCCGCTCCCTCCGCCACTGCCGCTGCCGCCTCCGCCTCCACTGCCGCCACCGACACCTCCACCCCCGCCACCACCCCCACCGCCACCCCCACCTCCTCCACCGCCTCCACTGCCGCCTCCACCGCCCCCGCTAGCTCCTCCAGCGCCCCTGCCCCCCTTGCCCTTGCCAGGGCGGCGTCTCCCGCTAGGGGTAGACGCCGCACCGACCGACTCAAGCCCAACGAGGTCGGCCGCAGCAGCAGAGGCAACAGAGGGCAAAAGGGGGGAGGGGGAACACCCCTCAAAGATGGGGGTGCGAGGGTCACCACGAGAGGCTCCTACAGCTACTATGCTCTTCTCTGCTGCTAGGAGGGACTTCTCGAGGAGGTCAACGGTGAGAGTGGTGGGGCAAACTGAGAGGAAGTGGTCCCTGACCACGCGAAGGGAGTCAGGGAGCCGGGTGACTATGTAGTAGAGGGTGATGTACATGGGGGGGGGGTTCTTGGCGCAGAACTCAGCAGGAAGCGCAGCGCGGTAGCGAGTGTCACTAGTGCGTAGGTGCGTAATGTGCGCGGGCAGCTAAAAAAAAAATTTCTTATGGTGGGCCCTTAGGAAGGAACGGTCCCATGTAGGAACCCGCTCTGATACCATGTGAATCAAGAAAAACAGGAAAAATGGAATGACTAAGGGAAAGTTGGGTACAAATGCAAACCCTAGGAAAACTGTACCCCATATGTGCTACCCCACTATAGCCTACAGTAGCTATGTCATATAAATCTGACACAACTCACTGCCGCCGCCACGAAACGCCCCCACGTGGAAGGTGCTGCATCCGGAAAACTTCCTCGCAGGGTCGTTCTCTTCTTCTGCCACTGCCGCCCTGTCCCCCTCTGGAAACTCCTCCCAGCCCGTCCTTGCCAGACCTTCCTGGCCTGTGGCGGCCGGAAGCTTGGGCACCGCACCGAACCTTTGCAGCAGGTTTGGAAGGTCGTGAAGTGGATGCGGGAGCGCGGTGGCATACCCCAGCTGGTTGAAGCATCGGCAGTCCTCAGCAGGGTTGACCCTGGGGCCATAAAACCGCACCCATTGCAGCAGGCACGTGACTCGGTACGTGAACAGTGCCACCACCGCATTACTGTTCACGGGCACCAGCCTGGCGCCGCTTGCAGTGTTGGATCCCTTGGTCCTCGCACCTGTTGACCCAGCAGCACTAACAGCAGGAGACACTGCTGGACCTTCTGAATCGACTGCTCGCTTCCCACGGTCCTGCACTCCACTGCCCTCTGTGCTTCTCTCCGCCGCTGCCAGCCTGTTCACTGCTCCCTCCACGGCAGCGTCTTCCACGCTCTCCTTGTGGCGGTGGGCAGCACAGTCGGAGAAGATGAGAGCAGCAGCGCGGGCGAACATGGGCTGGCAGAAGAGAGTGCCGCACTTGAAGGCGAACTCGGTGGGGTCCACACCGGATACCACCATGCCACTGCTGCTGCTGCCACCGCTGCTGCCAGATGGGTCTCCCACAGTCCCAGTCGCGCTTCCCTCTGCTCCCTCGCCTTCACCACACTACGAGCAGCAGCAGCGGTACTGCTCGCCTGCCAGCCCTCCCTGGGCAACAATCTCCCCCACGCGCTGCACATACTCCTCCCACTCCACCCCCCTCAACCCCTCCCTCCACTCCTCCCCCCTTCCCCCCTCCCTCCCCCGACTTTCCCCTCCCTCTCCCCACTCCCCATGCGTGTCCCTCCCCCCCGGCAGCAGTGGCAGCAGGTGGGCAGCAAAGCCGGTCTCCAGCTGCTGCTTGCCCTTCACTCCCAGCACCTGCACCAGCAGCGACGCCAAGCAGTCGCCCCCAGCCTGCCGCCCCGCGCCGAACTGAAACGCCAGCTGGGGAAAAGATCGAATTAGCAGACCACATGTGCGCGCGCCAGAGAGTGACGAAGCGGGGGAACTTGGCGACAAGCATGGTGAAAGCAGCGATGGACACGGCACGGCGGTAGCGCGTCCAACAGTCACTGCACAGCCAGCAGCACCACCACAGGCGAGGGCTACCTGCTGCTCTCGTGCCTCTAGCCCCAACGGCAGTGGCCGCACGCGCAGCAGCTATATCATGCATACCCAGAAGATCCGCCAGCTGGCGCCGTATATGCTGGAGGTCCAGTAGCAGGCCGACACGTGGCTCTGCCAGCCATTCGAGCATCATCCCCTCTGCTGCAACCACAGGCGCCGCGTCCACCTTCCACCGATACTGCTGCCACCGACGGCGCTGCTGCGCTCTCTTCGGCAGCAAAACGGCCTGGAGGGCGGGGAGGAGGGGCGGAGAGCGGGACGGTGGCGGAGTAGGCGGTGATGGCGCGCGGGGGCTTATGGCCGAAGCGGAAGGGCGGCATGGCGGGCGGCACGGGCTGCTGCAGGTGCTTGCGCAGGGAGGCGAGGCTTGAGATGCGGAAGGTGATGGACGGGGCGGGGCGGAGCATGCGGGGAGCTCTAGAAGCATCACCGGTGGCAGCAGCACGGCTGGCAGCAGCAGGAGCTCTAGCAGCCCCTTGGACACGGAGCACGCGCCCTTATCGCGCGCGCACATGGTGCACTACGTGGACGTGCACCTGCCGTGGTCGCACTCCCTCCGCGCCTGCTGCCTCCCCCGCATGCTCCGCCCCGCCCCGTCCATCACCTTCCGCATCTCAAGCCTCGCCTCCCTGCGCAAGCACCTGCAGCAGCCCGTGCCGCCCGCCATGCCGCCCTTCCGCTTCGGCCATAAGCCCCCGCGCGCCATCACCGCCTACTCCGCCACCGTCCCGCTCTCCGCCCCTCCTCCCCGCCCTCCAGGCAATTCCGGCGCTGCTGCTGCTGCTGCTGCTGCTGCTGCTGCTGCTCCTGCTGCGAGTGCTGGGCCTGGGCTGGCCTCCGCCCCATCCTTGGCGCAGCAGTATCGGTGGAAGGTGGACGCGGCGCCTGTGGTTGCAGCAGAGGGGATGATGCTCGAATGGCTGGCAGAGCCACGTGTCGGCCTGCTACTGGACCTCCAGATTATTCGGCGCCAGCTGGCATATATTCTAGGCATTGATAGTCTGGCTGCTGCGCGTGCAGCCGCTGGGACTAGAAGTACCGGAGGAGAGGCAGCCAGCCGTCAAGAACTGTGGTGGTGCTGCTGGCAGTGCAGCCGCTGCTGGACGCGCTACCGCCGTGCCGTGTCCATCGCTGCTTTCACCGTGCTTGTCGCCAAGTTCCCCCGCTTTGTCACCCTCTGGAGAGCAAACATCCGGTCTGCTACTGTGGCGTTTCCCAACGTGGCGTTTCAGTTTGGAGGGGGCCGGCAGGCTGCGGGCGACTGCTTGGCGTCGCTGCTGCTGCAGGTGCTGGGAGTGAAGGGCAAGCAGCAGCTGGAGACCGGCTTTGCTGCCCACCTGCTGCCACTGCTGCCGGGGGGGAGGGACGCGCATGGGCAGGCGGGAGGGGGAGGGGGGAGTAAGGGGAGGGGAGTGGGCCGGGGGGGTGAGTGGAGGGAGGGGTTGAGGGGGGTGGAGTGGGAGGAGTATGTGGAACGCGTGGGGAAGATTGTCTCTCAGGGAGGGCTGGCAGGCGAGCAGTACCGCTGCTGCTGCTCGCAGTGTGGTGAAGGCGAGGGAGCAGAGGGACGAGCGACTGGGGCTGTGGGCGACCAACCCAGCACCAGTGGCGGCAGTGGTAGTGGCAGCAGCACTGACAGCAACAGTGGCAGCAGCAATGGTAACGATGGCAGAAGTGATGGCAGCAGCAGTGGCATGGTGATATCTGGTGCGGACCCCACAGACTTCGCCCTCAAGTGCGCCACTCTCTTCTGCCAGCCGCTGTTTGCCCAGAGTGCTGCTCTGGTCTTCTCGGACTCAGCTGGCAGCAGGTTCAAGGAGAGGGTGGAGGACGCTGCTGTGGAGGAAGCAAGGAACCTGCTGGCAGCGGGGGAGAAAGGCACAGAGGGCAGTGGAGTGCAGGATCGAGGGAAGCGAGCAGTGGATTCAGACGTCCCAAGAGCGGCTCCTGCTTCTTCTGCTGCTGGGGCTGCAGGTGCAACCAAGGCATCCAGCTCTGCAAGTGGCGCCAGGCTAGTGCCCGTGAACAGTAACGCGGTGGTTGGGCTGTTCACGTACCGAGTTACCTGCCTGCTGCGGTGGGTGCGACTTTATGGGTTCAGGGTCAACTCCTCTGAGCACTGCATATGCTCCGATCGGAAAAAGCCTGCCATCGCCCTCCCGCATCCAATCCATGACCTTCCGAACCTGCTGCAAAGGTTCGGCGCTGCGCCCAAGCCTCAGGCTGCCACAGGCTTGGAAGGTTCGCCTGCGACCGTTTGGAAGGAGTTTCCGGAGGGGGACAGGGCGGCAGTGGCGGAGCGTGAGAAGGACACGGGGGAGTTCATGGGAATCAAGATCCTCCATGTGGGGGCGTTTCAGGGCGGTGAGGTGGACAGGGAGGAGGTGAAGAAGGAGCACAACGTGAGGGAGCTGAACCTGCCCCCCCCGGGTGCACCGTCCACCGTGAACCGCAACCCTGGTGGCGGGTACACTCTGCAGGACAACACCAGCGGTCCTTATTTCCCCACGCTGAGCCACCGTGTGGAGGAGTTTCTGAGAAGGTTCGCCCCTGCACGGCTGGCAAGGGAGGGCAGGAACGGCCCTCTGGCCCGCGCTATCACCTCCTGGGCTGGCCGTCTGGGCCTCGGGGATCGAGCATGGGCTGCTCTGGCTCTCGGGCCGTTTGCGCCTGGCAGAATCAAGCCCATCCTACGGTCCAGAATCCAAGTGGACATCCTGATAGAGATGATCGCGAACAGCATTCTGCCTGCACCTGTGTGCACCCGCTGCGACCGCTGCATTGGCACGTACTACCTGGCCGTGAACCTCACGTCTCTCGTCGCCACCTTCGCCTACCGCCCCTCGTCCGCGCTGCTGCGCTGCATCCTCTCACTCTTCCCAGCCCGCTCCGCCCGCTTCAGAAGCTTCCTGGAGAATCTGGGCGTGGCGCCGCTCCCTGCGGTGGTCCCGGACTCGCTGGTGGCGGCGCTGCTGGAAGGCGTGATGGAGGAGCATCACCTGCCGCTCATCTTCTACGGCACTCAGCTCATCTTGAAAGAGGAAGGCTTCGAGGCCATTCTGGAACCTGTCGGGCAGGACGGGGGCGGGCAAGCAAGGGGGGAGGGTCAGCAGCAGCAGCAGCAGGGGGAGGAGGAGTGGAGGATGTGGGAGGAGGTGGACAGCTGGCGCATGGCGGCTGGGAACGCGTGGCCTGCTTTGGAGGCACATGGTGCGGCGCTGCAGAGAGGGGCTGGTAGGGGAGTGGGTGGAGTGGAGGAAGAGGAGTTGGAGGAGTGCTGTGAGGGCATGAGGCGCGCCATGAGGGACGATGTGGCTGTTGCAGCTGCGAGGAAGGAAGCTCTGATTGCCATGGTCATTGCTGCTGGTGACCCTGGGGCCACTGGTGCAAATGCGGGCACAAGGACTGGCGAGGGGCAGGGGGGGAGGGCAGGGGCATCATACTTGGAGCCGTGGCCGGGGGGGGTGAATCCTCTGGCGTGTTTGAGGGAGATGCTGCTGGGGGAAACCAGCTACTGCCCCCAGGCCCATGTGGATGCTGTTGCTGCAGCTGCTGGCGGTGCTGCTGCCCCCCATGCTGCTGCTGCTGCCCCTGGTGAGAGGTTTGGAGCTGAGACGCGAAAAGGCAAGGCAGAGCCGCGAGGCTGTTCCTCCCCACAGTGTGTCAAGGTGGAAGGGGGGGGTGTGCAGCTCAAGGTGTGTGCACGATGCAGTATGGCTGCCTACTGCAGCAGGGAGTGCCAGAAGGCCCACTGGCCCTCGCACAAGCTCACATGCCAACCTAAGGGAAAGGAAAGGACGGGGGATAAATGATTGGATGTCGTGTAGAAGGCTTTACGGTACAACAAGCCAGCGAGTATCCTCCAGAACATGTTGGTTTTTTTCCTGCATATGCTACCAGTTGGTTCAAGGTATATTATAGGTGAGCTTATGTTGGTTATTGCGAATGTCTTGTTCATGTTTAACAGGTGTGGAGTTCCTGCTGTTTAGTGTTCTGCGAGCCGCGCGAGTCTGTCGGGTCTGTGTTTTGGTCTTACCGCCAAAACCTGCCTTGGACAACGGAGTCAATGGATGAATTAGAGGTTCGGAAACCCCCCTAGTTGAGGTTCGGCGAGAAGTCTGGACCCAATCACGCAGGGAGCCTCGACTTCGCGTTTCTCGGATCTCGCCCTGACAAGCCTAGCGAAATGCGTAGGCGAAATTCTGGCGCAGCACATCTCGTGGTGAGGCTTGGATTCGTGACGAGCCTTGACAGGTTCGGGCATGCTTCAATGTGGTCTGTATCCGCGATTTTCGATGGGGTGACTTTTGCTCCTGCAGCGATGTGATCGCCAGCAGTCGAGCCGCTCTCCCTCCCACCCTCCTCACCTCACTCTGCTGGGTCCATTTTCCAGAGTCTGTTTGCCTGCAGTACAAGTCCAGACATTTGGAAGCCACTTCTTTCTCGTCTTTGCTCAGTGCACACAACACGACTTCCTCCAAACATTGAGCTTCTGCTTCCTTGTTGTGACCATCTCACATAAGTCTCAAGTAGGCTCCGAGAGCCTTTCAAGTCTCATTCTCTGAAACAGTGCGAAATTCATTACCAGTAGCTATCAATTCTTACGTACGCTCCTCGCCATGGACATCTGGATGGCCGAGCCGTCGGTTGATAGTACCGCTTCCTCATGCAAGTCGCTGGCGAAACCGATCAGCGAAGGCCGAACCGAAGCGCACGAACACGAGATTGATTCGGAAGGTAAGCAGCCGATCTTTTCATGGGGTCTCACTAGTCTTCTCAACCGCCCTTTTCTACCTGACATTTTCGTCGAAAATAACGCGAGCCTTGGTCCTCGACCCCCTTTTTCTACCTCTCTCTTTCTCCCTCTTTCCAGGAAACCCCTCTTTCTTTTCAGGTAGACGCGAGAGAGAGTTAGGTTAGCACGCGAGTGCCAACCGTTTCTCCTCCGCGTTTGTGCTGGCAGGTCTCGTCACGGCATCGTGGTACGCGCCGTCCGAGGCGTTGACCTCGTCCACGGGACCCACGCCGGTCAACATTGACCTCGCCGCCTCGTCGGACCTCTCGGATTCGTCCGTCGCTTCGACGCTTTCCAGCTCCGGCGACTCTGCCGCTGCTGTCGCTAAATCGGCAAAACCGGTGCCGGCTGCAGTCCAAGCACCTCCCGCTCCCCGCGCCGCTGCTACACCCATTGCCCCGCGCGCGTGCCCTCGGCCGCTCGTGCTGAGCGCGTACGACGGCGTGCTCGACCCCGACCTGTTCGAGGCAGCCGGCGAGTTGGGGCGCGGCGGGTTCGGCACAGTCGTGGCGATGCGGCGAGTGGAGAGCGGCGAGGTGGTGGCGGTGAAGCGCGTGGAGCGGAAGCAGCTGGTGGCGGCGTCGAACGAAGCGATGCTGTCGGCGTCGCTGAGCGAGTGCCCGGGCGTGCTGGGCGTGCGCGAGGTGCATCTGGCCGAGCAGCACGCGTACATGCTCTCCGATGTGTGCCACGGCGGTGACCTCCGCGCCCTGCTGCAGCGACGCAAGGCTGCCACGAGCAACACCACGGGGGACGCGGGGAGAAGCGATTGGAGGCGGTGGTGGGGGAAGGCGAGCGGGGAAGGCAGGCGGGGAGGGGGAATGGCGGAGGCGGAGGCGCTGGAAGTGGTGAAGCACGTGGGCGACGCCGTGGCGTTCTGCCACGAGCGAGGCGTGGTGCACTGCGACATCAAGCCCGATAACATCCTCTTTGCCGAGCCCACGCCGCTCTCCGCGCCCCTGCCTTTCTCCGCCGCCGCTGCTCCTGCTGCTCCTGCTGCGCCTGCGCGCGCCTCTCCTGCTGCCCTCAGCCTGTCCGCGCCCGTCTCCTCAGCGCGCACCTCCCCCCGCCTGGCCGCGGGGGCAGTGCGGCTGGCGGACTTTGGGTTGGCGCAGGTGGTGGCGGAGGGGCAGCGCGGGTGCAGCATTCCCGCAGGCACGCCCGGGTACGTGGCGCCTGAGGTCGAGGCTCTCTGCCGCCCTCGCTGCCCGCCCGCCCCGGGCGCCGCCAAGCACGCCAGAAAAGCAGCGGGGGGAGCAGAGGTACGAAGCGCAGAGGCAGCGGGGTATGGGCGCGCAGCTGACGTGTGGTCGCTGGGGGTGACGCTGTACGAGATGATTGCGGGCGAGCGCCCGTACTCAGGGGAGGCGCCTCAGCAGGGCGGGTGGCGGGCGCCTGTGGACGGGGCTGCGTGGGAGGGCGTGTCGGAGGAATGTCGCGCGCTGGTGAGCGGCATGCTGAGAGTGCGTGCGGAGGAGAGGCTGAGCATGACGCATGTGTGCAACCACCCCGCCATGATCCGCGCCTTCGTGGGCAGCGGGCGGAGCAGCGCGGGGAAGAGCAGGAGTGGGAGGTGGTGGTGAGTGCAATGGGTGGAGGAGAGGGAGGCGGGGGTTAATGTGGACGGGAGAGGGCAGCAGCAGGGGGGAATGCAGCAGGTGTGGCGTGACGGTGGGGTGAGGCAAGGAGAGAGGGACGGAATGGAGGAGCACCACTTTTTGCACCCTGCCTGTCAGGGTGTTTGGGATGCTGGCTGGATCTGGTGGATGGAAGGGGATGGGTGCACGCCGCCCAACTGCATTGCTTCGTGTTTGCTCTAATCTGTCCGCTCTGCTTGTTCAAGGATTGTGGCTGGTGTGTGGCTGCGGAGAATGATGCTTGCATAGGTTAGAGATCGTCCTAGATACGGTGATAGGGTGATAGTATGTATAGCTCTAATGATCTTATTGTGAAATGTTAATTTCTGAAATTGATGCAGTGTACCGTACAACCATACGGTACAAGGGCCGTGTTATGCAACAACACCCAAGTGATGGAGGAGGGGGGATGAATTCCAGTCATCGAAGCTTGTGCCGTACATCAATGTAGAATAGGTAATAGTGGGTGTGTCAAAGGCTGAAACTAAAATGGTAAGTAAAAAGAAGAATGTGGGTGAATCTATGCCATAGATCATAGCTGGCCATGGTACTTTGAAGGGGTACTGTACATTTCCTACATGGCTAATCTAGTTGCTGCCTCGATGTTGTCATACCCGTATCCTCCACCAGGCCACTCAAAGCTAAAACATTAAGAGAGATAAAGAGCATGCGCAGAAGCTTCTTCTCAGACAGAAAATGCAAGGAGAGAGAGCGCAGCAGCAGCAAAGAGGCTGAAAGCAGAAGCTGTGGGCGCGGAAAGGCGAGAAGCAGGCTTGGGAGGAGGAGGAGCAGGAGGAGAACGGGTGGAAGCAGTTGGTGGCTGAGGCGCTGGCGATGCCGCTGCTGCAGTTAATTTCGCTGCTGTGGTTGATTCTGCTGCTGGAGTTGATGCCGGTGCTGCTGCGGGTGCTGGAGCTGCTGTGGGTGCTGCCCCTGAAGCATGGGGCATAATTGCATGCAGTGGCAGGCAGACACATACCACTCAACTACCGGCACACAAAAGCTGCATGCACATACGTCATACCTATACACCCATGCGCAACACATCTTCTAAACTAACCGAAACATTCGAGGTGTTTGTACAGTAATGTGCATACATGTGGACATCGAACATCATGCACCTAGGGGTGCAGGCAAGCAAGCATCCACACACAGCAAGGCACAGGCACGTACACTTGAGGGGCGTGCAGGAGGAGCAGAAGGAGGAGCAGAGGCGGCAGAAGGAGGAGGTGTTGCTCTGCTTCACCCCACACTCGCTGCTGTCTGCCGGGCAGGTCAGCCCCGAGCCAGAGGTGTTGCTGGGGGTGGGGGAGGGGGGGGGAGAGAGGGGGGGAGGATGCAGATAGGTGAGGTGAAAACGGGAAAGGTAGAGGAGAGGAGGCAGTGTGGCCAGTGCAACATGCTTATGTGCTGATGATCGTGTGATATGCGGAGAGAGTGGCATGTGTGCATGCATGTGGTGGCGTGGCTTCAAGCAACACAAATCTGGCATGGGTGCATGGGAGCATGGGTGCATGCGTGCATGGGAGCAGACTCACAAGTAATAGAGGTTGTCCAGGATGCCAAAGACAGGAGATATGGGACCAGTCAAGTTTGTTGCCTCCAAGGCCCCTGCCGTTCCATTTCATGCCATCACATGCCATGCCATTCCACGTTACACCATGCCATGCCATGCCATGCCATTGCACATCATCCCATGCAAATCCAAGCGACCCACACATGAGTGTTTCAGCTAGCAGCCTCGCTGCTTCATAGTGCCTGCAAGCCATTGCCCCCACAGAGTAGCACAAGGTGATAGGTACCGTAGCATGTGCATGTATCGCCCTTCCCACACACACGCCCCCTTCCCCATCCTCCCACCCACCCTCTCCCTCCCCCTTCCCCCCTCCCCCTCCCGCGTGATTCATTACAGGGACTCCAGGAAGATGAGGAGGGTCATGGACTCAGGCAGAGGGCCGCTGAACTGGTTGTCGCTGATGTCGCTGGTGAGGGGAACGGAACGAGGGTGGAAGAGGACGGGAGAGAGGGGACGAGGATGGTTATGCTTGGGTGGGTGGTGTTTGCGTTGCGGCACGTGAGGTTATAAAAACTGAGTCGTACTCTCAAGGGTTGACTTGCCATCCGGGCAAGGAAAGAGAAAGATGCATGCACAAACAGAAGCATGAATACACAGAAGATGGCAAGGAGGCAGAGGAGAGATGCAAGTGCGCGTGGGACACTTTGCTATGCTCCACGTGGTCAAGTAAAGCCCACCCTCACTGGTCATTCAGCCCTGTCCAGTCCCGGCATGTGTGCGTGCGCAAGCCCAACCCACTGGGCATTCAGCAGCGTCTACGAGTCCCGGCATGTGTGTGTGCGTACAGAGAGATGAGGTATTCGGACAGGCCGGTCGCAGGCAGAGAGCCCTCCAGCTGGTTGTGAGCGAGGGAGCTGGGGCGAGGGAGAGGGAGTCGGTTGGGGAGGGAGGGGGGTGAAGCAAGCACACATGGCATCAGAAAGGGATGCGCGGCAGCAGCAAGAGATGTACGGCAGCAGCAAGAGATGTACGGCAGAAACAAGGGATGCACGGGGAGGGTGGAGGGGAGTGGGCTTACAGGGCCGTTAGCGAAGGCAGGGTGAAGACGGCAGGGGACACCACTCCAGTGAACTGATTGTGAGAAATGTCCCTGATGGGATGGGGATGCATTTAGGGAGGGGGGCGGGCGGGAAGGGGGAGTGGGGAGGAGGGGGAGGAGCCCAGGGGGGGGGTTTAAACCAGCACTGTCAGAATAAAAAACATTGAAAACAAGATTGTAAAAGCTATGACCCAAAGGCATGCATGCATGCATGCAGGAGGCACCGCATTGACAGAGGGCTCACAAGCTGTTGACTGCTGTCAGCGTTGTGAGCTGTGGCGGCAGCGGGCCAGAGAAGTTGTTGGCCGATAGATTGCTGCGAGGAGGCAGCAGAGGCAGGGAGAGTGGAGGCAGCATGGGCAGAGTATTAAGAAAGAAAGAAAGAAAGAAAGAAAGAAAGAAAGAAAGAAAGAAAGAAAGAAAGAAAGAAAGAAAGAGAGAGAGAGAGAAAGAAAGAGAGAAAGAAAGAAAGAAAGAAAGAAAGAAAGAAGGAAAGAAAGAAAGAAAGAACATGCAGTTGGGAGAGGCACGAGTGAGGGGAGAGTGGAGTGAGAGAGCATGCAGCAGGGGTGGGCATGTGTGCATGCGTACAGCCTCTTGTATTGCGGTGCAGATAGCATGGCGGAGGGGAAGGGCCCCGTGAAGCTGTTGTTGGATATGTCGCAGCAGAGCGGAGAGAGAGGAGAGGGCAGGCAAGGGGGAGAGGGAGGGCCGGGGGGGCAGACAGGAGGACGGGAGGGAGGGGAGGGCAGGAAGGGTAAGGAAGAGGGTGGGAAGTGAGGGTGGGGAAGGCAAGATGGGTAAGCTGCATGGAGAGGGTGAGAGGTGAGGAGTGGGGGGGGGAAGCAGAAAGGTTAGGGGGATGTTGAATGTGAGTGTGTGGGGTGCACTGTGAGCAGAGTGACGGAGCAGAGTGGGGGAGCAGCATGAGTGACGTGGGATGGGGAGGAGGCGTGTCATACAGTTCGGCGAGGGCGAGCTGTGCAAGGGGAGCAGGGAAGGCGCCTGACAAGTTGCACGACCCGATGTTGCTGTGGGGCGGGCAGGGCAGGGCAGGGCAGGGCAGGGCAGGGCAGGGCAGGGCAGGGCAGGGCAGGGCAGGATAAGGGTCACCACAGGAGGGCAGGCAGTGTGGCAGCGAAGAGGGTGAGGAGGCAAACGGACACGGCACGCAGGAGCAAAGGGAAACGAGCAGACTGAGCTGCAATGGAGATGGGGGAGCAGTAGAGGAGACCAAGAGGCGAGGGGCACGGCACTGCGAGGAGGATGCCTGGAGGCATGACGCAACGCAACGCGGCGAGGCGCAACGCCATGCAGCGCGGTGCTCACAGGGTGGAGATGTTGGTCATGCGTGCAAGCACGTCCAGGCCGCCCGAGAGAGCGTTGTGGCTGATGTCCCTGTGGGGGGCAACCCAAGGGGACATGGGTACGGCATGGCAGGGGTGGGGCATGGGGATGGCAGGTATGGTGCGAGCAGACTTACACATTTGCGATGGAAGGAAGTGGGAGAGGAAGGTGGGTGGGAGGCGGAGGTGCAATGGGTGGAAGGGGATGCATGGGGCTTACAGATTGACGAGCGCAGGAAGGTTTGCCAAGGATGGTGGGATGGGCCCTGACAGATCGTTGTAGCTCACATCGCTGCCGTGAGAGATGGCGTGCAGGGGGGGGAAAGAAGCGGGGGAGACGAGAGAGGAAGCCAAGATATGAGTATGGGAGAGGGTGGTGCGCTTGTGGAAGGAAGTGAGTTGGATATGGGTGCTGGTTGGGTGGGGGTGTTGGGGCGGTGCATCTGATCCACAGGTGATACTGCAAGATAAGAACAGCCATGACTTGACGGCTGGGAATGGAGGTGGCACGAAGGTGGGAGACGAAGGTGGGTGGGAGATGGAGGTGGGAGATGGAGGTGACATAGGTGGGTTGAAGAGACTCACAGAGTGGCAAGGGCAGCGAGGCCTGAGAATGATGCTGGGGTGGGCCATGTGAAACGGTTGTGGCTCATTTGCCTGTGGGATGGGAGAGATGGAGTGGGTCAGACGCCTGTGGATGGATGCTCATCATGAAGTTGTCGCATTCCATGCCTCCCATGCCCCCCATGCCCCCATGCATCTCACAAGCCACAACCCGCCACTCACATGACCTCCAGGAGTTGCGGGGCAGCAGGAGAGGCGGAGAAGGGGCCCTCCAGGGCGTTGTGGCTCAGCGAGCTGCCCAGAGCAAGCAATGGGTAGATGGGGGGCAACGCAAGGGGGCACAGCAGTTGGTGGGTTATTGGGGAGGGCTGTCCATGAGAAGTGAGAAGGAATTGAATGTGCGTGCGCGCTGTGCAGGCAAGCAGGGAGCATGCACTGTTTGAATCGAATGGACAAGCGTGGCAGGATTGTAGGCAAGCAGAAGAGGAGAGCAGAGAGGAGAGCAGAGAGGATGGCACGGAGCACAGTCAGCAGCAGATTCAGGGATTCACCAGTAGCAGGGTTTACGGTCAAGGCACAAAGGGAGGGAGGCAGGGAGCCCAGGAGCACAGTCCCTATAGCCCAGTATCCACATGCCTCTCCTCCTCTCAACCGACCTCTCCTCTTGGTTTACTCACAGGAGAACCAGAGACGAGGGCAGCACAGGCAGAGAGCCAGCCAGGGCGTTATTAGAGAGATCCCTGCAGGCAGGCGGGCAGACGGGCAGGCAGGCAGGCAGGGCAGTCAGGCAGGCAGCAGGCACAACGGCACTGTTGCTTCGAATCTGCAACATAGTAACGGTAAGCCACGAGTGTGCTGACGAGAAAGGTGCTTGAGGGGTCATGAGAGGCGTGGCGTACAGCTCTGAGAGGGCGGTGAGGGCGGAGATGGCGGCGGGTAGGGAGCCGGAGAAGCCGTTGCCCGCTGCCCTCCTGCGATGGGGGGGAGAGTGGGGTGGGATGTGCAGCGAGCAGAGCAGAGAACCAGAGGTTATTCATGAGTGGGGGGGCAGGATCTCAAGATCATATGGCACACACAGAGGGTGAAAGGGCTGCGAAACAGGCTCGCTCAAATGAGCCGGATACAATGCTCAGTCCTCGTCTCGTGACGCGGGTCGACCCTCCGCCTGAGCCTGCTGCTGCTGCTGTGCCTGCGTGCCCCTGTTTTAGCAGCAGCTGCTGCTGGCAGTCTGTGGCCTCGATACACATGACAGGGTGAATCGTGGGCCTCAGGCAGAGTGACGTGACAAGCGAGCAGCAGGCAGGGCGACACGCAAGCAGCAGGTACACAGGCATGCGGGCGGGTGGGAAGGCAGCTCACAGGGTGTTGAGGCTGGTGAGAGCCGTCCAGTCGGCTGGAAACGGCAAGGAGCGGGCGGGGGTGAGGCCGCTGGGTGCTGTCACATCCCTGCAGAGAGAGAGAAGAGGGTAAGGCAGGTGGTGAGGAGAGAGCAGGGTGGTTGATGAGGAGGGAACATAGTGGGTGGTGTGGAAATAAACGGTGGCTGGTGCAGTGCAACAAGGGGTCGACAACGTGAGAGCATTGCTAGAGCCTAGAGCAACGTGAGAGTCACACCTGAGAAACAATGCTGGCGAAAAGAAGGGGGAAAGAGCAGGGTTGGTGGTAATTACAGGAACTGCAGGTGGGGGAGTTGTCCGATCCACGATGGCACGCTGGAGAAACTGAGATAGCTCAGGTCACTGCTTGATGGGGGGGGGCAGGACGGGGCGTGGTAACGTTGCTTGCACGCACAAGCAATAGGAGCAACTTGCCTGAATCACTGAGTATAAAATGCATCAGCAGATATATCAAGGAGGAAGGAGATCAACCATCCACGACCACGACCAACCGTTGTACCGCTGCCAGCTGACCTTTACAGCCCAACCCAAATGAGAAACAAGCACTCATGGGGCAACTCATGGGGCAACTCATGGGGCAACTCATGGGGCAACTCATGGGGCAACTCATGGGGCAACTCATGGGGCAAATCATGGGGCAACTCATGGGGCAACTCATGGGGCAACTCATGGGGCAGATCATGGGGAACTACCAACACCCTACTTGGTGCGACGCAGCAAGCACAGAGAGGGCGAGAAGCAGCGGGAAGAAGAGAGAGAGGGCCTCAGCAAGTTGCGTTGCGCACTGTAAGTTGTCCACAACTCGCGGGGGGTTGTGTCTCTATCCAGTATCCAGTATGTATCCCCTACCGTCCAGAATCCAGTTACTTACAGGTAGGCGAATCTGGTGAGGGAGGAGAGAGAGGCAGGGAGCTCTGCTGCTGTGAGGTTGATGTAAGCGAGGGAGCTGGTGGGGGAAAGAGAGGAGAGACCAGAGAGCGGGGAGGAGAACAAGGGAGAGGAGAGGCGAGTAACGAAGAAGAGAGGAGAAGAAAGGACAGGAAGTGGAAAGAGAATCACGGAACGGCCAAGAAAAAAACGAGGGGAGGAAACGTGAGTAGAGGAGAACCATAGTGAAAGTGACAGCGAATTGTAGTGCAGAGTGCAGCAATAGAGCACACGCTGAAGGAAGAAACGGCCAGGCACAAGCGAAAAGAGAGAGCGCAAGCGGGCGGGAGGGACACACCAGTGCACTTGGCCCTTAACCTGGTTACCTAGTTAACGCGAAACAAACCTAACTCTATGAACTGAATGCACACCTCCTCTCATTCCTTTCACACACCACCCCTGCTGTCGACACGACGACACCTACGCTCCGGTGGGCGAGAGGGCAGAGCAGGGAGGGAAGGCCGTGACTCACAGGTATGAGAGGGCGGTGGCTTTGCCGAGGGCAGCAGGAATCTCCCCAGTCAGGTCAGTGGCGTGCAGATCGCTGCCGTGTGTGGGGAGGGGAGGACAGATGGGGAGTTGAGTGCGCATGCATGAGACTGACTGAGGCATGTTGGGTTGGAGCAGTACAAAAGCGATTGAGGATCGGCACTTGTGGGATGAATGAACAGCCGCGCAATCTTGAAAGTTCTCAAAAAGGGATCAGTACACACGGAGAAGTGAAGTGGAGAGAACGGGGGCGTACAGGTATTGCAAGGCGGGCAGGAAGGCAAGAAACTCCAGGCTGCCGCTGAAAGGGTTGGAGGAGAGATCGCTGCCGGGCGGTGGGGTGAGCGGATGAAAGGGCGGTGGGATGAGGGTGAGAGGGGCGATGGGAGATGAGGAAGAGGCTTATCAGCATGCATGACAAGGAAAAAAAAAAAAAAAAAAAAAAAAAAAAAAGAGCAAGTGGACGGAACATGCAAGGTGAGAATCTAGTACGGCATGGCATGGCACAGCTCACAGTTCCTAGAGAGGGGTGAGGTTGCGAAATGCGTCCGTGGGAATGGGGCCCGAGAGATTCTGGCCGCCCAGGTTCCTGGCGAGAGGCAGGCACATGGGTTGCAGGGAAGGAGAAGAGGAGACGGCTGAGGGGCGATCGAATGGGGGTGGTGGATGGTCTGACCAAGGTGGGTGAGCGAGCCAGTGGAAAAAGAGCAAAAAAGTGTGTATCGATTCCAACATATAAAAGGTTGGGTGGAGGAGAGTGGGAGTGGGGAGAATGGGGAAGAGAACTGATAGGCGAGAACGAGGGTGGAAGGAGGGACTGACAGGACTTGGAGGGCGGTGAAGGCAGCGATGTCAGCTGGGAGGCGTCCAGGCGGGGTGAGGGTGCCCGCCAAGATGAGCTCTTGGAACTCTCTGCAGCACAGCGAATCAGAGATGGGGTAGCAGAGCGCACAGCACAGCGGCATGCAGCATGAGGTGACGGGGAACATGGGGATTGAGTTGCGTTATATCAATGGGGATTCTTCATCGTGAGGAAGAAGGGTTGCACACATGCACACGCATGCACTCGCATGCACACACACACACACACACACACACGCGCGCGCGCGCGCGCACGCGCGCGCACACACAGCGCATGTTAGACCCAGCAGCAGCATCCAGCCCTGAATCCAGCATGTGTCTCACATGTTGGTGACCATGCCTGTGTGGTCGCATGTGACGCCCGTCCACTCGGAGCACAGCTCCGCCGCCTCCCACCCCGTCAGCGCCACCAGCGCCGCCACTGCCAGGTCCGCCGCGGAAGGGAGGGTGGGGAGCAGGGGAGAGGGAGGGGGAGAATGAAGGAAGGGGGAGGCGGAGTAGGATAAGAATTGGAGAGGCCAGAGAGAGGGGGAGGGAGAGAGGAAGGGAGGAGGAGAAACCTTTGGAATTGAAGGCGACTCAAATTGCGATCACGTGGCTGACGTTTATCGCGTACGAAGGCGACTCACATTGCGAGGGTGCGAGCTTCACATTGCCCGGCTGCGGGCTCGCCGCGGGTGGCCGCGCCACTCCGTCGCTCAGGCGACGAGCGACGGACGGACGACGAAGGCCTGCGACGAAAGATGCGGCATGATCCGGAGAAACACGCGACACGCGCCTGGTCACCACACTGCTGCTATCATCGCCTTGCAGGGCCGTGGCGGTGGCGGTGACGGTGACGGTGCCACCAGTGGTGGCGGCGGGGGAGAGAAGCGCGGCGAGAAGAAGCACCAAGGTGAGGAAGGCCATGATGACGTGAGTAGGGTGATGCTCGAGGCGGCGTTTGCTAGCGGGCGTGGTTGCTGCCGGAAACACACGTCTGGGCGCAGATGTTCTCGAAACGAGCGTTCCAAGCTAGCTGCGAGTAGCAGGTATGAAGTTCGTGAGTCGGTACAATGCGTGGAGGGTTTAGTAGGACACTGGAGATTGGGCAGACGGACTGGCCCCGACTCGGAGTCGGATGTCCTGGATTCGCGACACTGTACTGAAACCGACTGTGTCGGTCTGTCCTGGGTCGCGGGACACATTCCTGGAGCCACCGACTGCCGAGTCCGACTGGCAGACCGGCCCTCAGGTGCCATACAAGTGGCATACGCGAAGGGAGTGCGTACGACCGCGCCGGTGCTTCTCTCAGCCCGCATTTCAGCAAGACAACAGAGACGGGGAAACAACGTTCGGGTTTCTCAGACAGTCCGACAGTCAACCAGCATCCTGGCATTTCGTTCCTGGCATCCAGCCAACCCTACTTCCATGCTCTTTTGACGAGTGTTCGGGACTCGAAGCTACTGCAGGTGCCTGTTTCCCTGGTGTGAGTGTTTGGAATAGGTTGCTAAAAAGGAAACGACTGTAACGAAAACCTGGATGGGGAAAAATCACCCTTGTTTGAACAACACCACCTTTTTTGTTAGGGAGTTTTCCTTATGTTGTTTACTGTTCACTTTGAAACGGTGCTGTGCGATCGGGTGTGGCTCCCCGGCGCATCACAACATCCTCAATCCACTGGTCAGAAGCATGAGTGAATCAATAGACCCTAATTGACTCGATCATTCTCGTTCCGAAACGCGGAGCCATGATGGCTGCTGTTGAGGATGCACGTTATTCCCAGCCATCATGGCTTGCATTGTCGCGCTTCTCTTCCACTCGCTGCATGTTAGTCTTTTTATGGTAGTGATAGCTCCAAGGCAGCACTCACCAAGCGTAATCTTTCCTGGGCATCGCGTTTCCTGGTGTGCGACATGGAATTCACGCTTCGATTTCGAGTTCCTGCTATTTTGCTCAAGAGCCATAATATTGCGAATGTCGACAACAGCGTCGACAGTAGCAGCAGCGCGGCTGCGACTGGCCTTGCCGCTGAATGCGGCAAGGGAGGAACCGCGACTACTATCCAACAGCCAGCGGCTTCCCACGTGGATTATCCCATCACCGTTGATCCGCACGAGCCCCTCCAATCAGCTTTTGACAAGCTCTTCATGTCCTACTTGCCACGATGCTGTCTGCCAGGTCAGCAGACACGTCAGCAACATGATGACGCGGAACATGCAGGAGTCCATGAGGAGAAACAGGGGAGCGGCGAGGGCGAAGAGTGTCAAGATAGCAAGCAGGAATGTTGCATTGAATGAAATGTGGGTACAAGTACTAACCCTAACTTAGGGTTGTACCCCATATGGGCTACCCCACTATAGCCTACACAGAACTAACACATATATAGTTTGACACACCCCCATAGGCAAAGTGGGGGAGAACAAGGGGTCACAAGACCAGTCAAGAAAAGCAAAGCAAAGCAAGCTCGGGGTGGATCACAACGTCACCACACACTCGAGCACAAGCAAAGGGGCCACAAGGCCAGTTCACATGAAGAGATATATATGCAACAACAACAGTACAGTGATCACTACCTAGCAAGAGTAAACATGCAGGTATACATATATAGATCACAGTACAACCAGAGTCTACAGCAAGTGAGGAAACGTAGGCACCAGGCCTAGAGCAGTGCAGAAGCGCTGATGATTACCAGCCGGAAGGGCCTTGGTGAACACATCAGCAGTGTTGGCCCGGGTGGGCACGTGAGCGATACGAAGCTGACCACGTTGCTGCACCTCTCGAGCAAGGAAGTAAGGCAGAGTGATGTGCTTCGTTCTGTGCTCCAGTCTGTGGTCCTTACACAAGGCAATGGCAGCCTTGTTGTCGACGTACAGAACTGGAGGAGAACGAGGCCTCTCTCCCAAGTCGGTCAGCATGTAGGTAAGCCAGCGTAACTCCTGTGCAACCATGGCTGTGGCGTAGATCTCAGCCTCACAACTGGAGCTGAGAACAGAAGACGGGCGTGTAGACCGCCAAGAAACAGAGCCAGAGCCAAGACTGAAGGTGTAACCCTATGACGACCGCTGCGTAGCCAGATCGTCAACCCAAGAAGCGTCCGAGTGCCCAGTGAGGACAACGTCGCCCCGTCCTCCAAGCACGAGCCCCATGCCCGATATACTGCATAAGTAGCGCAGTACCCTCTTAACAGCATCCATGTGCACCTTTCGGTGCCTACCAGGAGCCACGTAGCGAGCCAGAAGGCCAAGAGGGTACGCAAGGTCAGGACGAGTGCAGGTCATCAGGTACATGAGGCAGCCCACTAGCTCTGGGTAAGGACCACTCGGCTCTACGGACTCGTCCGAAGGTGGAGCTGAGAGCGAGTGACCTGTAGCCAGAGGAGTGGCCTGTGCCGAGGACCAGGTGAAGCCGAAGCGCTGAAGGATCTACTGCACCATGTGTGACTGAGTCAGTGTGATGGTGCGGCATGCTCTGTCCCGGGTGATCTGCAAGCCAAGGTAACTGCACAGCTCACCCAGGTCTGTGCACGTGTGTCTCTTTTGCAGCTCCGACTTCACCAGGGCGAGAGCCTCAGTGTCAGTAGTGGCAAAGACCAAGTCGTCGACATACACGAGGATGTAGAACGGCGGCAGCGAAGTGTCGGTGCGCAGAAACAGCGACGGGTCAGCAGTCGACGGAGCAAACCCAAGAGCCGCAAGTGTCGTCCTCAGTGTGTCGTGCCACTCACGTGGCGCCTGGCGGAGACCAAAGACCGGCCGCCGGAGGCTCCACTAGGTACCAGGAGGGAACGACCCAGTGAAGCCAGGCGGGCGGCGCAGCCAGATCTCCTCGTGCAGGCTGCCCTGTAAGAAAATTGTGCTGAAGTCAAGAGAGTGAAGCTCATAGTCACGCTGAGCGGCAACGTGCAGTAGCACCCGAAGAGTGGTCATCTTCGGGGTGGGGGAGAAGGACTGGAAGAAGTCTACTCCCTCTCGCTGACTGAAACCTCGAGCAACGTAACGAGCCTTGAAGACAGGCGGAGAACCTGGCGGCCGCTTCACCCTGAAAATCCACATGCAATCGACGATGTTCGCCCCAGGAGGGGGAACCTCGTCAACGTAAGTGCCTGTGGACTTCCAGGATGCCATCTCTGCGTCCATGGCTGTCTGCCACTGAGAGGAGTACTCACCCGCGATCGCCTCAGCGTAAGAGCGCGCGGTCGGGATGTCTGGAGCATCCGGGTGTCCCTCAGGGGCAAGTAGCATGGCCACGAGATGAGGCGCAGCGGCTGCAAGACACTCAAGGTCCTCCTGCCTGTCCTCAAGGACGTCCGTGCCAAGAGCACTTTTTTTTTTTTTTTTTTTAAGCAAGCAGGAACGTTGCATTGGGCTACCCCACTAAAGCCTACACAAAACTAACACATATATAGTTTGACAAAGAGAAGCAGGCCGTTCGGTTCATGGCTATCGGACAAATTGTGTACTTATCGCCTGCGTTATCCGCTGCCTTGGCGAGGCTTTAGTTCAGTACAGTGATCAAAGTGCTGGCAGTGAAATCGAAAGAGGAAAAGCACGAGAATCTAGAGCAAGGTAGCACTGGAAACAGCAGCGCCCCCCTGCTGCTGACTCCGCATCTGCGCTTATCTCTTCTCCGCGTCCACCTTCCACCGATACTGCTGCGCCACCGACGGTACGGAAGGACCAGCACTTGCACCACTGGCAGCAGCAGTTGTAGCACTGGAGGAAAGCGAGTAGTGGAGCCAGAAGTCCCTGCTGCGACTGCCCCTAGTTCTTCAAGTACGACGACCAAGGGCGCCAATACTGCAAGCGGCGCCAGGCTGGTGCCGGTGAACAGTAACCCAGTGGTTGGGCTGTTCACGTACCGAGTTACTTGCCTGCTGTGGTGGGTGCGACTGTACGTGTTCAGGGTCAACCCTATTAAGCACTGCGCATGCTCCAACCGGAAAAAGCCTACCATCGCCCTTCCGCATCCAATCCACGACCTTCCGAACCTGCTGCAAAGGTTCGGCGCTGCACCTAAGCCTCTAGCCGCCATAGGCATGGAAGGATCGGCAACGGCGTGCTGGAAGGAGTTTCCAGAGGGGGACAGGGCGGCAGTGGCGGCGCATGAGAAGGTTCCTGGGGAGTTCATTGGGATCAAGACCTTTCAGGTGGGGCCGTTTTGTGGCGGCAGGGAGTTGGACAAGGAGGTTAAGAAGGAGTACAGCGTGAGTGAGCTTTACCTAATCCCAACCCTGGTGGTGGGATCTCTTTGCACGACAACACAAGCAGTCCCTTCTTCCCCACACTAAGGCACCGCGTGAAGGTTCGTCTCTGCAAGGCTCGCAAGGGAGGGCAGAAACGGCCCTCTGGCCCGCGCTATCACCTCTTGGGCTGGCCGCTTGGGACTCGGGGATCGAGCATGGGCTGCTCTGGCTCTGGGGCCGTATGCAGAGGCCAAGGTCAAGCCCATCATACAGTCCACAATCCAAGTGGACATTATTATAGAGATGATCGCGGCCAGCGTTCTGCCTGCACCTGTTTGCACCCTGCATTGGCACGTACTGTCTGGCCGTGAATCTCGCATCGCTCATCGCCACCTTCGCCTACCGCCCCTCGTCCACGCTGCTGCGATGCCTCCTCTCGCTGTTCCCGCCGCACTCGTCGCGCTTCAAAAGCTTCCTGGACATTCTGGGCGTGGCACCCATTTCTGCGGTGGTCCCGGACTCGCTGGTGGCGGCGCTGCCATTTCTCTTTTTTGACTCACAGCTCATTGTGAAAGAGGACAGCTTAGATTCCAGTCTTGAATCTGTTGGGCAGGACAGGGGGGATCAGGCGGATAGGGAGAGGCAGCAGCAGGAGGAGGACGGGGGCGAGGGGTGGAGGATGTGGGAGGAGGTGAACTGTTGGCGCAAGGCGGCTGGGAATGCGTGGCCTACTTTGGAGGCGCACGATGCGCCGCTGTTGAGAGGGGCGGGTAAGGGAGCATGTGGTGGGGAGGAGGAGGTGGTGGTAGAGTGATGTGAGGGCATAAGGCGTGCCATGAGGAAGAACGGGGCTATTGCAGCTGCAAGGAAGGAAGCTCTGATTGCCATGGTCATTGCTGCTGGTGACCCTGGGGCCAGTGGTGCGAATGGGGGCACGGGGAATGGGGAGGGGCGGAGGGGGAAGGCAGTGGCATCGTACTTGGAGCCATGGCCGGGGGGGGGGGGGTGAATCCTCTGGCGTGCTTGAGGGAGATGCTGCTGGGGGGGACCAGCTACTGCCCCCATGCCAAGGTGGATGCTGTAACTGCCCTTGCTGCCGCTGGTGGCGATGTTGCCTCCGTCGCTGCTGCTGTTGCTGCTGCTTCTACTGCAGCTGTTGTTGCCCCTCGAGACAGGGGTGGAGCTGAGATGCAAAAAGGAAAGGGATGGCCGCGTGGCTGTGCGTCCCCGCGGTGCAGCAAGGTGGAAGGGGCGGGGGTGCAGCTGAAGCTATGCTCGCGGTGTGGCAAGGCTGCCTACTGCAGCAGGGAGTGCCAAAAGGCCGACTGGCCCTCGCACAAGCTCACATGCCAGCCCAAGGGTAAGGAAAAGACGGGGGATAAATTATTGGATGTCGTGTAGGGATGGCTATACAACATTCAAGCCAGCGAGTGCCCTCCAGGGCCCAAAATTGGTTTTAGGCCACCCTGCCTAATCTCGGTCTCAGCCTGTCCCACCCTGATGGCGTAGGGTAAAATTTCTGATACGCTGGCAAATACAGGCTAAAAAAAAAAGTACCCTGACTGAATCAAAGGAACTTGCCATTTCTGGTTTTTGTAACACATGAAACGTCAGTAAATGACTTAGTTATATGATTTCCTCCGAATGGTAAGGTTGCAGGTTGAACCTTGATTCGTGCGGGATGTCTACAGGGGCTATACGGGTTTCTTCGGATCGCTGCTATTGTAACCCTTGTGTGACACTTCTTAGTCAGGGAAAGGAAACTACTACACTGGTTTTGAAAGGGTAAAAAAAAACCACTAATTTGAAGAAAGGGTAACTGTACAGTTAGCCTGCCTTGATCAGGGTAACTGAAAAAAAACGGCCTACAGAAAGGGCAAAAAGGGTATTTTACCCTGATATTTTGGGCCCTGGTGCCCTCCACAACATGTTTTTTTCCGTCATATGCTCTCAGTTGGTCCAAGGTATTTTATAGGTGAGCTGATGTTCGTTATTGAGAATGTCATGTTCATGCATCACAGGGGTGGAGTTTCGGTTGTGTAGCGTTCCGCGAACCGCACGAGACTATCGGGACAGTGATTTGGTCTTCCCGCCAAACCTGACTTGGACTACGGAGTCAACGGATGAACCAAACCCCTAGTTGAGGTTCGGGTAGCTTGGACTTGGTAACTCGGAACTCGCCCTGACCAGCCTAGCGAAAGTGTAGGCTTGGTGTAATGACGAGTCTTGGTATGTTTCTGCGATTTTAGCGGGGGCTACTTTGCTCCTACTCCTGCAGCAATGTCATCGCCAGCAGTCGAGCCGCTTTCCCACCCTCCTCCTCGCTTCCCCCCAGTTCCATTTTTCACGCTCCCTTGCCTGCAGTGCAAGTCCAGCCATTTGATGCCACTTCACTTCATTCTCGTCTATTCCTCATCGCCGACACTTTAGCGACCTGAGATCATGAGATCATGAGATCATGATCATGAGTCCGCCATGGATTTCTCCGCGTAACTTCGGAAGCCTGTTACGTGAAGGTTACGTGTCAGTTGGTAACTACGACTTCAGATCCGTTATCCTGAGCACATTCTTAAGCAGAGGATATTTTTTTTATGTCTACTATGCAAACATTGTAACCTTCGCTGCTCAGGTCAGGCTCGCGGTTACAAACATATCTCAAGCCAAGATCATCCCAAGGCTCCCTGCTCCTATCGCAAGTCTTACATGGTTTCTAAGATCAACACGACAACAGCATCATGCTACACCTTCTGGCAATATCAACAACTATCTCGAGACATTATCAAGGCATGTTCCCAAGGCTTCAACCTCGGGAACGCATCATTTCGATCAGGAACGCAATTCCATGGCAAGAAGGATACTATTTAAGGAGATGGTGCTCAGCAGTCAGGCAGCGGAAGCGTCAACTGCTTCCATCATCACCAGGGAATCTCTGGCTCTCCCTCTGCTGCAATCTTTGCTTCATCATCGCACCATGGCTCCCAGGGGTCGCTCGGCGAAGGCTTCAGCTGACGCTCCTCCTACTGACGCCAACCAGCCTGAGGTCGATCAGCCTGATGTCAACCAACCTGCTCCTGAAAGGGAGCCTGCGGACAAGCAGATCGCGTCAGATGAGATCAATACAGCTCTGAACAATGAGACTGCAGCGGCAACCATTGTCTCCACGTCAACCTTACATGTTCCGGTCGCCGGCAGCTCCGGTCTTTCCGTTCAAGATAAGATGCAGTCGAGTCAGCCTGCTACAATGGCGGAACAGCAGTTTCTGGAGGATGACTCTGATGAGGAGTTAGACATTGATATCGCAAAGGATGATGCTTTTCGCCTTCGTTACACTGCGATCTTACTCATTCCGATGGTTTTGTCTCAGGAGATTATAGCCATCATTGCTGCAGTACGTCTTCTCATGCAGAAAGTGTGGTGCTCGTCTCTGACTCCGAATGCCGGTGTCACGGAGAACATTCAGGAGATGACTCCTGGTTTTGTGGCCAAGACGCGGTTCTGTCGGCTGCAGATATCCTTCCTCGACGAACGCGATGCTCACCACATCAAGTCCCATGTTTTCGAGTACCAGAAGACGAACAGTCTGTCGATCAAGTGTATCTGGCAGCACACGGAGGACCCATCTTACCTGAAAGAGAAGGCTGCTCACCCTCTCGCTATTGAAGTGTTGTTTAAACGTGTTCCTGCTAACGTTGTCCCGGATGTGCTGAAGGATTTGCTGGTCCGTTTCAAGCTGAAGATGAGGAAGCAGTCAGCTTTCAAAGAAGGCTTCGCTTTCCACCGCGTGGTTCACCCGCTTACCGGAGCAGATACCGATGTGATCAAAGGGCTGGTGGTTCAGCACCCTGGTGACCGTTACCGCTGGCGTCATATTGTTGATAGTCCGATGGAGCCTGGCGCGAAGCTGTTGGTCCACTACCCTGCATTGTCCTGCCTGCTCTGTGGAGGACAGCATTATGACATCCATCATGATCTGTTCGTCACACTTAACCTTGGGGAAAATCCATCGTATCAATGGTAACCGCAGCGTTTTTCATCCCTGTAATCCCAGCTTACCCTCTTCGCCTTACACTGACGCAAATGTTTGCTTTCGCAGCTGCCTCCCTGTGTGCCTCCGCCTTAATGACCCCCATCCTCAAAGATCCAGCCATCGCACTTGTCTCCACCGGCAGGAACCGCGAGGAATGGATCTGCAGGCAAGTGTGCTGCGGGAAAACGAAGGGGAAAACTTTCATGGCTGCTGCGGAACACATTGTCTCCGCGTCCCATCTGCTGAACCTGGAGAAGCTTGGAACTGCTACCAAAGCCTCGCTGGACAAGCTGAACCTTGCTCATCTGAAGAAAGACTATGGGCTCTGAGGCTTCAAAGCGAGAACCGCGTGCTGTTAGCGATTGTTGGTTGGAGTGCCGTTGTTAGTGTATGCCATCCGGTGATTAAATGAGTAACAGAAATTTCCTCTCCTTAGCGGGCCTGAACATCAATGGCGCGACAGAACAAAGCAAGACAGAGTAACCACATGGACACGCACAGCCGCAGACATCCTTATCCTCTCTGACACCAGACTCCCAGACGATCACTCATACTGGAAATCGCCCGCCTTTTCTTCAGTTCTCACTACCCCAAACATAGACAAAGCCGGTGGAGTTGCAGTCCTTACCAGAGATCCAGCCATTCTCTTCCGTAACATTACCACTTACCCTTCAGGAAGGCTGATAGTTGTCACCGTCAGCCGTTCTGGTTTCACTTTAACCCTGATCCCCACATATTTCCCAGCTGACGCAACCGACAGATGCTCGTTCTTAGCCAACGTTGTAGATCCCGCTTTTGATCAGATCCCTCCTACCGCGCATGTAGTCCTTATCGGAGACCTGAACACAGTGGAAGACCCCACATTAGATAGAACCTCACAGACCGGCACGTCGCTTGAGAATGACAGACTTATCTCGCGCTGTAGCCGTTTCCAGCTCTCCGACGCGTTCCGTACCCTTCATCCTAAGCTCCGCGAATACACCTTCTACGCCCCCTCAAAACAATCCAGCTCTCGCATAGACTGCGCGCTTGTTTCCTGCTCGTTGCTCCCGCACCTAGAAATAGCTGCACACATTCATCCGGAAGAATACATCTCAGACCATGGCTTCGGAATCAAAATAGCTTTTAAGCTTAAAGCCTCCACTCACCTGGGCCCTGGCATCTGGAGGTTGCACCCTGCTGCGATAGGAAGGCCCGGCATCCGGAAGGCTGTTGAAGCTGCGCTTACCAAGGTAGCCGAAGAAGGCGATGGGGATTTTTAGCTGCTGCTGGGGAGGCTGAACGCAGGGCTACGCTCATACATGAAGGAGGAGAGTAAGCGGGTGAAGAGGACTACAGCGCATCTGGCAGAGGTGGTAGCGGAGTTGCATCAGGAGCAGATGCGGAATCCTGCATGTCAAAGGACAAGGGACCTACTGCTCGTCAGGGAAACACAGCTGCGGGAATACCATGCTTCAAGGAGAGACAGATTGCACGTGATGACAGGCACGAACAAGGAGCTGGCGGGGGAGGTCCCCTCACCTTTTCTCTCGGCACGAATCAAAGTAAGGAAGCAGAAAACGCAGATCGCGGAGCTGGTTGTCGACGAGAACAAGATCTCTGACTCACTTGGCATTCTCAAAGTGGCGACAAAATACTTCACTGATATTTTTGGCGAGGACGGGCGAACGTCGTCTGTGAGATGGAAACCGCTTCCTGGCAAGCGGCTGGATGCGGAAGCGGTGGCTGGGCTGGACGCAGATTGGACGGAAGCAGAGGTGAAGCAGGCGTTTAAGGTGCTTGCGAACGGCAAGTCCCCCGGTAAAGACGGTCTCCCGAAGGAGCTGTTTGAACGGAACTGGGACGTCCTGGGGAAGGAGTTCCTCCGGATGGCGCGGTCTTTCGCTGACACCGCGTCTCTACCTGCAAGCATAAAAGAGGCAGTGACCATCCTGCTTCATAAAAAAGGGGAAAGGGACAACATGGATAACAACCGCCCGATCACCCTTCTCAACTCTACCCATAAATTGTTGGCGCGTGTGGTAGCGGACCGGATGAAGCCTATACTGCATAAGGTGATCTCGGAGGAGCAGTATAGCTCTATACCTGGCAGGCGTATCTCGGACGCGATCGAGGTGGTTGCCGACGTGATAGAGGCGGCGAAGAAAGGAAATGAGGACTGGTACATGCTGCTGGTAGACTTCCGTAAGGCGTTTGACTCAATGTCCAGGAGTTTCCTCTTTACGGTCCTCCTAGAAATGGGTTTCCCGGAGAGGTTTGTCGGCTGGGTGGAAGGTCTGCACAAAGACACAAAAACGAGGCTTCTGATTAACGGCTGGCTGAGTGAGGCAGTGAGCGTCAAATCCGGGGTGCGGCAAGGCTGTCCTCTGGCTCCTTACCTCTTTCTTTGTGCGGTGGAGCCTCTGGCTCAGGAAGCTGCTCGGCGGAAGCTGGGTCTCTGCAACAAGGCAAATCAACAGTTAGTGTACGTCGGATATGCGGACGACACGACACATTTTTTGGACGGGAAAAGGCAGATCGCGCGAGCTGAAAAGCTCATGGATTTCTTCGCGAGTCTGTCGAGGCTTAAGACGGATAGAGACAAATCGGTTGTCCTCCCGATCGGTCACAATCTTGGGCGGAGGCCGGGAACGCTTGGCGGATTTAAATGGGCGAAGGCGGATGAAGCAGAACGCGTCTTGGGTGTGTGGGTTACCCCGTCCGGTAACAGCGAGCCGACCTGGAAGCGGGCTTTCGAAAAAATTACGGTGGAACTGATTAAGTGGAAGGCCCTTTTTCTCACGATCGCGGCCAGGGTGGTCATCATCAACTGCTACATCACCCCGAGGATAGCGTATCAGACGCAATTCTACCCATCGATCGAGGACATCTGGAAAAAACTCCTGAAGCTGGTGCACAATTTTCTGGCGGGGAACAACGCATCGGCGGAAAAGGGTTTCGTATTATGGAACTGGGGTCTCCTCACCACGCCAAAGGCCGACGGAGGGTTGGGCGTGCTGGACCCAGAGATAGTGCTGGCCTGCCTCGCCGCGCGAAGGATCGGTGGGCTGCTGCTGGAAGGAAACGGGAAGAAGAAAGAGATAATGCTCGCAGCGGCCGGTCTTCCTCTCGGGGAGGACACCTTTCTCGCACATGAGAGGCTACTGAAGCACTGGCCAGGGGATGGCGAGCGGTGGAGACGGGTGTGCGAAACATTCATGAAATCGCCTATTGCTGACACGGGGACTTCCTGCAGCAGAGCAGAGGTGGCGCAGGAAAGAGTCGTTTTCAATCGGAAGTTGCTGATGAACGGGACGAACCCGGTCGGAGGGCAAAAGGAGGCAAAAGGCTTGTGGGAAACGCGGCTAGGGGATCTAGTTGATACCACGCATGACGGAGGTGCTGAGATTAAGGATATTGACACACTGGAGAAGGAATTGCGCAGCAGGGACTCAGCTCGGCTGGCTCTCAAGGCTTTTGACGCAGCGCCGCAGGAGGGGAAAACCCTCTTAGTCCCAGGCAAGGGGAGGGAGGAGGAAGAAGGGGAGGTGCCCCCCCTGCTGACGTGCCTACTGTGGGGGTACATGCAGCTGCGACAATCTTCCGCTCGGCAGTTTTTTCGGATGGGCGGTTGGCCTCCTTGAAGCAGTTGAGGGAGACCTGGGCCAAGCCTGAGGCAGTCTTGGTGAAGCAGGCCAAGTGGTCCAGCAGGTGGAGCGGGAAGATAGACTGGAGTCGTATCATCCGCACCCGTAACTCGCTGACCATCCCGAGCCGACCGCGGGATGTTTTCACACGGATTCACAACCTAAACCTGCAGGTTGGGGAGAGAGTGGATTTTCTCAGCAGCGACCCCAAATGCCCGTACTGCGGGGAGACGGAAACCCATGACCACTGCCTTTTCACATGCCCTGTAATTCAGCCTCTGGTGTCTGGTTTGCGCCGTGCTCTGCACATGCTCAACCCCGGGGGAGCCCCCGCCTCGCTGGGAGATTTACTGTTCAAGGAAACCGAAACTGCATCGGACTTTCCAGAAGCCACACTAACCGCCATCACCTTCCACCAACTCTGGGTGGAGCGTTGTGATGCAAGCTTTCGGGGGCAGAAGTTCAGGGCACGACGGGTGCTCAGGAGGATTGGTGCAGCTTTCAGGCTGCATGCGAGAGTGTACACGAGGGTGACCGGGGCAAAATGTTTGAAGCCGGGCAGCTCGGGGACGCATAAGAGGGTCAGAGGAGTGTTTGAAGCTGAACAAAAGATGATGTCAAGAATCAGGGAGGCAGAAGACAAAAAGTGGACGTGGAATGCCAATTTTACAGCGATCTGGAACAGGCCAAGGAGGGCTCACCTACCGCCCTAGTCACTCAGCTGGGCAGCATAAGGTGTCTGCCCTCACGCTCAGTTACGACTGCTATTGTTGTATGCATTGCCTCTTGATGTATACCTCAATTAAAAAAAAAAAAAAAAAAAAAAAAAAAAAAACTTCATTCTCGTCTTTCATCAGTGCACACAATATTGAGCTTCCAGGTTCCTTCTTGTGACCATCTCACATAAGCCTCAAATAGACTCTCATAGCATTACACGTCTCATTCTCTGAAACGGTGCGAGATTCGTTAGGAATAGCTATTAATCACTTACGTACGCTCCTCGCCATGGACATCTGCATGTCCCAGCCGTCGGTTGATAGTGCCGCTTTCTCATGCAAGTCGCTGGCGAAATCGATCGGCGAAGGCCGAACAGAAGCGCACGAGCACGAGATTAAGTCGGAAGGTAAGCAACCGATCTTTTCACGAGGGGAAGCTTAGTCTCACGCGTTTTCTCAACCGCCCTTTTCTACCTGACAATCTCGTGGACATTAACGCGAGCCCTGGTCCTCGACCTCCCTTTTCTGCCTCTCTCCTTCTCCCTCCTACCAGAAAACCCCTCTGTCATTACAGGTAGAAGCGAGAGAGAGTTAGGTTAGCACACAAGTGCCAACCGTTTCTCCTCCGCCTTTGTGCTGGCAGGTCTCGTCACGGCATCTTGGTACTCGCCGTCCGAAGCGTCGAGCTCGTCCACGGGACCCACGCCGGTCAACATTGACCTCGTCGCCTCGTCGGGCCTCACGGGTTCGTCCGTCGCCTCGACGCTTTCCACGTCCGGCGACTCTGCCGCTGCTGTCGCTAAATCCGCGAAACCGGTGCCAGCTGTAGTCCACGCACCTCGCGCTCCCCGCGCCGCTGCTACACCCATCGCCCCGCGCGCCTGCCCTCGGCCGCTCGTTCTGATCGCGTACGACAGCGTGCTCGGCCCCGACCTGTTCGAGGCTGCCGGCGAGTTGGGGCGCGGAGGGTTCGGCACAGTGGTGGCGATGCGGCGAGTGGAGAGCGGCGATGTGGTGGCGGTGAAGCGCGTGGAGCGCAAGCAGCTGCTGGCGGCGTCAAATGAGGCGATGGTGTCGCCGTCGCTGAGCGAGTGCCCGGGCGTGGTGGGCGTGCGCGAGGTGCATCTGGCCGACCACCACGCGTACATGCTCTCCGATGTGTGCCATGGCGACGACCTCCGCGCGCTGCTGCAGCAACGCAAGGCTGCCGCAAGCAACAACACAGGGGACGCGGGGAGAGGCGATTGGAGGAGGTGGTGGGGGAAGGCGAGCGGGGAAGGCGGGCGGGGAGCAGGAATGGCGGAGGCGGAGGCGCTGGAAGTGGTGAAGCACGTGGGCGACGCCGTGGCGTTCTGCCACGAGCGAGGCGTGGTACACTGCGTCATCAAGCCCGACAACATCCTCTTCGCCGCGCCCATGCCCCTCTCCGCGCCCCTGCCTTCCTCCACCGCCGCTGCTCCTGCTGCGCCTGCGCGCGGCTCTCCTACCGCAATCAGCCTCTCCGCGCCCGTCTCCTCAGCGCGCACCTCCCCCCGCCTGGCCGCGGGGGCAGTGCGGCTGGCGGACTTTGGGTTGGCGCAGATGGTGGCACAGGGGCAGCGCTGCACCATTCCCGCAGGCACGCCCGGGTACGTGGCGCCTGAGGTGGAGGGTCTCTGCCGCCCTCGCTGCCCGCCCGCCCCGGGCGCCGCCAAGCACGCCAGAAAAGCAGCGGGTAGAGCAGCGGCAGGAAGCGCAGAGGTAGCGGGGTATGGGCGTGCAGCTGACGTGTGGTCGCTGGGGGTGACGCTGTACGAGATGATTGCGGGCGAGCGGCCGTACTCAGGGGAGGCGCCCCAGCAGGGCGGGTGGCGGGCGCCTGTGGATGGGGCTGTGTGGGAGGGCGTGTCGGAGGAATGTCGCGCGTTGGTGAGCGGCATGCTGAGAGTGCCCGCGGAGGAGAGGCTCACCATGGCGCACGTGTGCAACCACCCCGCCATGATCCACGCCTTCGGGGGCAGCGGGGGTAGCAGCACGGGGAAGAGCAGCAGTGAGAGGTGGTGGTGAGCATGACGGGTGGAGGAGAGGGGGGCGGGGGTTAATGTGGATGGGAGGGGGCAGCAACAGGGGGGAATGCAGCAGGTGTGGCGTGACGGTGGGGTGAGGCAAGGAGAGTGGGACGGAATGGAGGAGCACCACTTTTTGCACCCTGCCTGTCAGGGTGTTTGTGTCAAAACACTAGGCAGAAACGATAGAACAGGAAAGAGGAGGTTTTCACTAGCAGGCAGTTGAGTAGATATAGCTAACCCTAATTCGGGCTGTACTCGTTATAGAGTACCCCACTGCAGGCTAGACAAACAACACATTCTGACACACCTCCATAGTCAAAGTGGGGTATAATCAGCACAGCAAGCAGGCAGAGCAGTAGGTTCACAAATACAAGCAAAGCTAGAGGCAGTCACAGAGGGCAAGTGAGGAGGAGGAGGGACTATGAGAGGAGTGGAGATATGAGGCGTCGGGCGAAGCCGCAAACACACGGGCAACAGGAACGGCGCGCACGGTGGCTACCGGAGCACTCAACCTCCGGACTAGAGGAGTAACTGGCTCCGCGCTAAGCAGCAGCAGGAGCAACGGACCCATGGGCGACTGGCAGCAGCAGGCTCGCTGGGCTACCGGAGTACTCAACCCCTGGCCTACTGGCGCTGCTGACGTCACAACGGCTATCTCCGGTCAACCTCCCCCAACTGTCCCACACCCCTTTCACACACCCCCTGCTGTACCCCTAGCACTCGCTCATACGCCACCCCCCTCGTACCACTCCGACAGCTCCAACACATCCACCCCCCTCAGCGGCAGCTGCAGCAGTGGGAGACGGAGGAGGAGGAGGAGCAGGGGACGGCACACACTCCCGTCACCCCCATACTCGCCACCCCCAAACCCTAACACAGACAGCACGGGGCAGGAGCGGGGAGGAAGCAGCCCCGCGGCGCACGGGGCAAGGGGCGGCACGCGGGTCGACTGGGGCAGGCGCGGAGGTCCCCGGGGGCGACGCGCGGGTCGACGGGGGCGCCACAGCGGGCGACGGGGGGCCGCGCGCGGGTCCCCTGGGGCGCCACGACGAACAACGGGGGAAGCGCGCGGGTCCCCGAGGGCGCCACGACAGACGACGGGGGCCGCGCGCGGGTCCCCGAAGGCGCCGCGACGAACGACGGAGGAGCCGTGCGCGGGCCCCAGGGGTGACGCGACAGTGGGAAACCGCCGCGCGCCTCGGGGCGCACGGCAGGCAGAAAACCGCCATGCGCCCCGAGCGCGTGGCGGGAAGAAAAAACGTCGCGCGACAGACAAGACAGCAGCGGAAGCATAGGGCGGGACCTTCCACAGGATCGACCCAGGAGGGTCGACCTGCTCTGATAGCATGTCAAAACACTAGGCAGAAACGATAGAAGAGGAAAGAGGAGGTTTTCACTAGCAGGCAGTTGAGTACATATAGCTAACCCTAATTCGGGCTCTACTGACTATAGAGTACCCCACTGCAGGCTAGACAAACAACACATTTTGGTGGTTGGATTTGGTGGATGGAAGGGGATGGGTGCACGCCTCCTTGCTGCATCGCTTCTTGTTCGCACTAATCTGTCTGCTCTTCTCTGCTTGTTCAAGGACGAGGCTGGTGTATGGCTGCGGGGGTTGATGCTTGTATAGGTTAGAGATCGTCTTAGATACTGTAATAGGGTACCGATATGTTTAGCTTTAATGATCTTATTGTGAAATGTTTATTTCTGAAATTGGTGCACTGTTTTTTTTTTAACTATCAAAAGAATCATCGGAGCTCGTTGTGCAACCATACGGTACAAGGGCCGTGACGCTTATGCCGTACATCACTGTAGTGGGTGCGTGCGAAACTGAAAAGAAGAATGTGGGTGAGGCCGATTGGCCTCCACTCCCTTTTGTAGCAAGAAAGGGTCGAATTATGACTTGCGGTGATGAAAGTTGCTTCACTTTCAGAACAGAAAGTCTTAGAAATTGCATTGCATACACGTTAGAAAGTTACAAAATCATGGTGCTCATTTTACAGTACCTTCATGAAGTTCTGTACAACAAGATCACTGTTGAATTATTGAATCTTGTTCATTCCGGTCACTTGCTTTGTTGCCTGTTCAGCATGTCAGCTCAGCCTGAGAAAGCCGGGAATAATATGGATCATGGCTCGCCTTGATTCGTCGTCACCTTGGGGTAACCTGTGCAAAACTTTTGACTGGCATGCTCTGACAAGTGCACCGTTTCAGAACACCCAACAGCTCACTCAGCGAAAAGAAAAAGCATCGTTTTCACCCTGAAGGCGAAATGCGTCCCCCTCGCGAAGGTCAAGTCAGCGGTATTTTGAACGCTTGCGAAAGCTTGACTCCATCAGGCGGGAGAGAACATTGCTTTCTCGTCAGTGGCGGCTACGTGTCGTTCCCGCGCCGCGCATGGCAGTGCAGTACACCGGCGGGGCGCCTCCTTCCATCCCCATGTGTACTGTACATCGCGACCTGCATCATCTCCTGATGTACCACCATGCGTCGGCTTTTTATTGGTGAACGACCTCTGGCTCACTTTATTTAGAGCGCGGCTTGGCTCGCGCGAAAATCAGCTGGATGTCTCCGCGCCTTCATCCATCCATCCTTTCGCAGTCATGTTGGCGGTGGCTCCTCCTCTCACCACCACTACTCCCTTCCCTCCCCCCATATTCAACAGCCACTGCGATTCCTCGCTGCCGAATGTCATGTCAGAGTGCTGCTGAACTCGACATCCTTTCTGATGCTCCTCCATGGGAGCTATAATGCAATACCATCAACTTTGAAAAGTGCATGACCCTTTTCGTGCGACTCTTCATCTGACGACAGCAGCATCTATCAGGCAAGCTTCCGCATAGGCTTGCTGATGAGCTAGCGATATCTTCTTTGCTTGCTTCCAAGCGAACTTAGTTTCAAGCCACAAGTCTAGCAGCTTGGTAATTTGAACAACCACGGCGCGGCTTTTAGAGTCAGCATGGCTAGTCAAATCCAGGTGGCGAGCTTGCAAGGACAGGAAGATTGGGAAGAAGAGTATCGGCCGCTGCCGCTACTATTCGTGTGCTCGCTAGCGATCTGGACGGTGCTTTTCGGAGTCTGGATTTGGAACACGTGGGTGAAGCGCCAATGGCAGGTACGCTGCGATTGCACGCTTGTACCCTACGCTCCTGAATTTGTGGTTATACCGACTCTGATTAGCTCGCTCTGATCCATCGTCGCGCGTCTTTTCGTGCAGACGAGTTACCTCCAGTGGGCCCTTGCTCTCGTACCAGCGCTCAAGTGCGTCGTCCTCGGCCTATCCTTCTTCTTCTGGTTAGTGCGCCTCGCTCTTTCTAACATCGGACCTGGTCGTAGTTAATTAATAGGAGTTACATTGTCTGACGAAACGTTCGACGTCCAGTCGACTTGACGCTCCTGACGAGGGACCAAGACTGAACCCTTACTTGAACCAGCTTTCGACTAGAGTAGTATAGTCAATCCTTTTGTCTATCACCCGGCCAGACCGCCTTGAATAGCAGCCTGGGGTCTTAGCACTCTCTAAGTAGGCCCCGCTAAATGCTCGTATTTCGTTTCCTTAGAGCTGAATGTTCCATTTATTTTTCGTCTGCGCTCTTCACTCGCTACTCTCTTGTCCTTTGTCCTCCAGGCACTGGTGCTTGCACTTCGACTCGTGCTCCTTCTGGGTCGCTTTCGGCGTCTTCGTCTCGCGAATCTTCTTCGAAACCACGTGCTTCATCATGTTCCTGCTCATCGCGCACGGCCTGGGCATCACGCAGGATTCGCTATCCATGGCGCAGAGGCGCTCTATAGCGGGGCTCAGCGGCATGCTCTACATCTCTATTACCGCGTACAAGGCTGCGCTTCCGCACTTCCAGATCATTTTAACCGGCGTCTACACTCTACTGCTGTACGCCATATTCTCGAACGTTGCGCGGAGAATGGGCGCGCTGCAGGAGCAGCTGCGGCAGGCGGAGGCGGAGGGCGCGGCGGTGGAGGGGGGAGCGGGGAGCGCGCTGTACCCCGCACTGCTGCACCGCCTGGCGCTGTTCCGACGGTTCCAGGGTGCCATGCTGGCGATAGTCTTCATCGAAATAATCGTGAGTCGAAAATCAGCAGAACGACGTGAATTAAAACCAAGGTCCCGTTTCTTCTCGCCGCGTTTACTTTCGTATTCGCACCCCTATTAGCGCTAACCCTATCGTGTTTCGTCCGCGTAATCTCGGTGTTTTTTATTGCTTCCCGTTCTTCATCGCCTGACTCCGCAACTCATTCCATTCGTCTTTCATCCGTGCCTCTCCCGCGCCATGCAGCTTCAAACCAAGTCGGACGTGCTGGGTCCCTACTGGGTGCGGCTGCAGCTGAGGGAGGTAGCGGAGATCGCCGTATTCCTCTTTATAGGGTGAGACCTCGCTCTCCCACATGCTGCTTTTATCGGTTTCACTTGATCGCTTGCCACTCTCATCTCCTACTCTTCCCGTTGAGACACGGCGCTGTCTCTGTTGGATCGCGTCGTCGTGCGATCCCCGCGTCCTGTGCACTTCCGCACGCACTTCGCCCTTCACCTCCTCTCATCTTGCTTCGCACTCCGCCGCTTCTTCCCCTACTCGTATTTTCCCGTTCCGCTTGCGGCAGGTGGACGTTCCGGTCGCGGGTGATGGCGCCGATCTTCATGCTGCTGCCCGCGGAGCAGCACGCTCTCCCGCCCATCCACCGCGTCGTGAGTGAACTGCGACCCTTGCCTTGTATTCATTCCTTGACCCCTGTTGCGTCCAGTTTAGGTCAGACAATCCAGCAGTTTACTTACCTACAAACATACAGCACCTAAGCTTCTCTTCACCCGCGATTTCCCCTCCCTGGTACCGGTGTCTTCCGTCCGTTTGTGATCATGGCAGGACATGGACGACAAGGGCTTTCAACGGCTGAGATCAAAGGACTGGACCATCGGAATCTGCACGACGAGCGTCTCCTCCTCCGCGTCGGGAGCTGCTGGCAGTGCTGGCTTTGCATGTAACGCGGGAGCGCCCATGGTGGTGGTGGTTCAAAACCCGCAAGCCGCCTCGCCGTCGCTCTCCCCCGCTCTCCACCCCAACTCCATGCCGCCGTCACTCGCCCCCTCCCCCCTTCGGCCACCCGCGGGTTCTTCCCCGCCTGTTGCCACGTCATCTCCGCTCCCGCCACCACTGGTGCCGCTGTCGCTCTCCTCGCCGCTACTCTCGCCCAACTCCAGACTTCACACGGAAGGGCCGGTGCCCCTAAGCCTCCCCTTGGGGCTCTCAGTACTGACGCCGCAGCCTCCCTCAATACATGGACCTGTGCACGGACCTGTGCATCCGCATGTGCATATGGACGTGGGGATGCCGGTTCTGCCAAGGGTGCAGTGCCCGCTCGTGCCTCAACAACCAGACGAGATGGGGGAGCAGGGAATACAGCAGCAAGGGCAGGTGCTATAGCGGCCACCAAGGCAGCAGCAGCAGAAGCAGAAGCAGGCTCCTCAAACCGGAAGTATGGGGCATTAGGGCACACGATCCCACCTTATTAGTTCATTCGTTCTGCTCGGCAGCAAATTAGGCACATCAGCCATTTGATAGGCATCAAAGCTTAGGGGTAGACTAAACGGCTGATTTGGGCAGCCAGCAAGCTGTTAGGAAAGCGAACATAACGTAGAGTGCATGCTGCACTACTTGTGCAGCCTAATATACAGTAGTTTACAGCGAGAGGGGCACATAGTCTGCTTTGTTCAACAGCGGAGGTCTGCACTGCAACTCCTGTCCCGTCCTGTGCCTAACACAACTAGGATTCGACGATATTGACTATCAGGCAAACGTTCATCAGTGCTCAAGAGCGTGCAGCTTTGTACCGTAGTACCACGTATATAGAAGGCTTGTCAATGTGCATCGTTCTCATTTCAATTGGCCATCTTTTTCAATTCAACTGGCAAGTTATGATTCTACTACAGTAGACACCTATACAAGCCACCTTGGTGCCTTTGCTATGTGTTTTTTCTCTCTATGGTTTTTCTAATAAAGGCTTGATACGTGTTCTTAAAGTGGCCTTACATCAATACAGTGTAATCCCCCAATAATGGAGTGACGCTGTTTATCATCCTTGGCTCCACCCCCAATAATGAGAAGCTGTTAGCTGCACCCCAATAATGGAGTTAACAGCTAACAGCTAACAGCTTCTCATCGTGGGCCTCACCCCCAATAATGACGTCCCCAGTTCCGTTCATCGCCTTCGCACACAGCCTAGGAATTCCCGAGGGGGCTTGTAAACTTTGCCCTGAGAATTCAGGGCTCGGTTCGGCCTAGTCGGGGTTCCCGATTCAAAGATTCGGTTGTCTTGTAAGCCACTCAGACTGGAAGCTCCAGCCAAGCTCCAACAAAACTCTTAGCATTCGCCTTGAACTGAGCCCAGGCTTGCGACAACGAGTTACATTTCTGAAAACGTCTCAAAAGTACCACGCTGTAAGTGTTACGATAACCCAGCATTTACAAGCGCTGGGAAGGGGCCCTTGTTGCGAGGCTACAGTACTTTTCCTCCAATAATGCAGTGTGGCGCGATCCATTGTCCCAGCGCCGATTTTGTGTTCGCCAACGTTTTCGCCGTCGCACACCATTTGGGAAATGGCCGCTCGTAGCGACGATGGCGCCCGAAGAAACGCGTTCAGAGCAGCGACTTTTGTCGCAGCGGTCGCACATGGCCAAGGCCGTGCCGCGCCCGTCGCGGGGTGCGTCCCGCCATAGAGGTCCCCCCGCACACAGAAGCTCCGTGGAGCGCGGATTGATCTGCCGCACGCTAGGCTCGCTCGATGCCTATTTAACCACCCCCCGTGGCCGATCGCCCTCGTCACCTCTCCTGCTTTACCACTAGGCGGCACCAACACCTCGACGTGTCTGCGAATCGAACTGCCCTCTATTAGCAGCGAAATTGCTCCGCGGCACATCCGCCGCGTCTGCCATTAGCAGTCGCCGGTCAGTGCCCTGGTACCATCTTCTGCGCGCCTCCTCTCGTCACCCGAACCAGCGTCGCCGGCGGCTGAACTCGTTGCGTGCGCTCAAGGGCGAAGAGAGCAGCAGCATGGAGACTTATGGCAAGGCCGTGCGTGTGCTGCTCGCCATCGTCACCGTCACCGTCATCGCCGGTACGCTCCGCGCGCGTCGCTTTCTCGCCGTGCTCTCAAGCGGGTCGTGTCCTCGCCGTCATGACTGTTCAATGCGGCACCACACGACAGTGGGCACCCCTGAGACATGTCCAAAATGAACACGCCCGTGCCTCCATGCCCCTCCCATGCCACATTTGCCCCTCTCTTGCAGCGTGTCTCGTGCAGCCGTCGCACGCAGCTGGGGTGCTGATGGGGAACGTGAGGCTGGGCACGCGGATGTACGTCGACGGGCGCGAATTGCTCTTCGTGTCGCCCTGTATCGACATTCCTCCCATCACGGGTGTTCTGCCCGCGGACGCTCGGCCAGCAAACGATGATCGCTGGGCTGATTGCATCGCAATCCGATTCTTCCAGGATGCAGGGTGCACGGGACCCGTGTTGTACAATTATGACATGACGACGAGGTGTGCTTTTCCTTTTCTTGCTCGCCTTGCTTCCATGCTCCTATGCTATTGACGTCGCTCGGTTGTTCCCCCACCTGACCAACAACCCGTGCACTCGTGGCGCCCTCCCCCTGTGCGCAGCACCATGAATTTCCCCGTTGGCAATGCAGTGAAGTCCGCCTGCTGCGACATTGCTGGTGCGTCCTCTCTTTCTTTGCCCTGCCCGCCTATCCACTCCGTGCAAACTCGTTCTCTCTCTCTCTCTCTCTCTCTCTCTCTCTCTCTCTCTCTCTCTCTCTCTCTCTCTCTCTCTCTCTCTCTCTCTCCCTCTCTCCCTCTCCCTCTCCCTCTCTCCCTCTCCCTCTCCCTCTCTCCCTCTCTCCCTCTCCCTCTCTCCCTCTCTCTCCCTCTCTCCCTCTCTCTCTCCCTCTCTCTCCCTCGCCACGCTCTCACCTTCACAGCCCAGTTTGCCGTGCTGAGAGCACGAGTGGGAGGGTGGCAAGCCTCATCCCTGCTTCCCCTTTCCCCCTTTCCACACTGCGCTCTGCCGCAGGCGACGTCTGCAAGTATGCGCGCTGCCCTCCCAACTCCAAGTGCGACCCATCCACTTACGACCCCAACCAATCCAAGAGCACCACCAAATCCAATCTCTCCGGCTACATAGTGGAGTGCCCGTGCAATGATGGCTACATCGCTGCCAGGCGCCGCTGCCAACTCAGTAAGCCTCCTACTCATCGCTTCTCATCGATTCGAATGCCCCTCTTCCGCCCTCCCTCGCTTGCTCTCTCTGAACGCTTCCCTGCCTTGATGGACCCTAGTTCTCACCTGCCCAATCTCCCTTGTCTGCGCTGCAGACACCACAGGATCTGGCATCCCCACCACTGCACCTTCCAAAGAAACCCCCCCAGCAACTTCCAGCGACCCTCCCCCAGCAACTTCCAGCGACCCTCCCCCAGCAACTTCCAGCGACCCTCCCCCAGCAACTTCCAGCGAAACCCCTGCAGCAACTTCCAGCGAAACCCCATAAGGTTGTGAGAACACTTCAGAAGCTTCCAAAGACACGTCTTATTGCAGCCCACAGTATCTTTCTCCAAGCCACGGGGCGTAAATAAATAGCAATAGCTCAGAAGATTTAACAACATCTTGTGTAGCGATTGGTGTTTCTATGCTGCTGTTTGTCAGACAGGTTAAATGTTTTATGTCAACTTCATGGAATAATCAATCGTGGCTGTCCGTGCGAGTTTGTTTAGCCTACCAACTTGGTGAAAACAGATAACTCTCGTAACAGCTAACAATACAAATACACAAACAGACTGTGTGGTGAGAGGTGTTTGTGCATTGGACAACCCACCTTCCAATCAGAAGTGAATTTGACCTTGAAGAGGAGTGCGCAGCCCTGTGCGTTTGGGAATGGTTCAGCAGCTCCGTTCCCGCTCACACTGGTTTTGGATCTCGCTCAACAAGATTCTCCTTCGCGCCACGACTCATGGGCCATGTTCTGCAGGCGCATCTGCTCTGATGCGCCGGAGGCTCGGACTGATGTGCGCATTGGAAAATCGAGGGGCATAGGGATCATCATAGAAGCGATACCACTGTGTGCATGTTCCGCACCGCACCACACCGCTTGTTCACCAAGGTGGACTTGGAATCTGACGTTCAGCTCACCACAACCCCGAGGACGTCACAGCGGGTGGGAGGATGATGTCACGTGGCTGGTAAATGGAAAATGCGTTACATGTGCAGCATGAATCTCAACGCGCAGCTCGCCATGGCGGCAGGAAGAGTTTGAGAATGCCGCATTTCCAGGCTTCGTCTCAAGGACCAGCGAAGAATTAACGCAGACGAATAAGGGAGCCTGTTGCATTGACTGACTAATCCTTTAGATATTATTTTTTTCCGCTTGGCGTTGCTGTAGTAGTAACGAGTGCAAAACGAGCTTCGAGTATATTTTGCGGAATGTGCTATTAATCCAGCCCGGTGGCGCTGCCCCGCTGTAAGACATGGATATTTCGCTTCGATTTAGAGTTCCCGCTACTCTGCTCAATCGGGACCCCGCTAATGCGAGAGGCAACAGCAGCGGCAGCAGCAGCAGCAACAGCAGTGACACTTCGGTCACCTGTGGCGATAGCAGCAGCTTCAGCGTCGCCACTAGCAGCACTGGAACGGACACTATCCCTCACTCACAAGACGAACGAACCGCGGCGACGATCCAACGCTCAGCAGATTCCCACGTGGATTATACCATCACCGTTGATTCTAACGAGCCTCTCCAATCAGCGTTCGACAAGCTCTTCCTGTCCCACCTGCCACGATGCTGCCTGCCAGGTCAGCAGCAGCATGGCGCGGAAAAACGAGGAGACCAGGAGCAGGAGAAGGAGAGCAGCGAGGGCGAAGAGAAGCAGGCGGTTCGGTTCATGGCTATCGGACAAGTGGTGTATTTATCGCCTGCTGTTTCGGCCGTCAAGGCGAGGCTTAAATCGGGTACAGTGATCAAAGTGCTGGCAGTGAAATCGAAAGAGGGGAATCGTGAAGGTTCTGGCAACAGCAGCGGCAGCGGCTGCGCGAGTAACGCTGCGGTTGAAGAAAAAGCAAGAGCGGATGGGGATGAGGAGAGTCCAGAGGTCTCTGATTCCACGCATCTCCCGCTGGCAGCTGCTCAAGGTAACACCACCACCACTCCGTCTGGGAGTTCCCACGCCGGAAACTCCTCCCCACAAGGCGCTGACTCAGACTCTGCGCGTGTCTCCGCCGCACTTGTCTGCGCCTATGCGCTGGCCTCCGCTTATGCATTTGCCTCCGCCTCCGCCGCGCTTGCCTCCGCCTCCGCACCCGCTGCACCGTCTCCTCTCCCTGCATCTGCCACGGATACTACCAGCACCAGCACCCCTACCACTACCAGCACTCCGGCACAAGCTGCCTTACGTCCCTGCAACTACTGCAGCAGCAGCAGCAGGAGCAACAGCTCCAGTGACAAGAGCAGCAGCTGTGGCGGTAGCAGCAGAGGCAAAGCCAGGGGCCCTCCAGCGAAGCAGCCGCCCCTCCCCCTGCATCACGCGGAGCATGCGCCACTCTCGCGCGCGCACATGGTGCACTACGTGGACGTGCACCTGCCGTGGTCGCACTCCCTCTGCGCCTGCTGCCTCCCCCGCATGCTCCGCCCATCCCCGCTCGTCGCCTTTCACGTCTCCTCGCTCGCATCGCTGCGCAACCACCTGAGCAAGCCTTTGCCGCCCCCTTTTCCACCCTTCCGCTTCGGCCATAAGCCCCCGCGCTTCATCACCGCCTACTCCGCCACCGTCCCGCTCTGCGCCCCTCCGCTCCGCCCTCCAGGCGGTGCTACTGCTGGCGCTGGCGCCTCTGCTGCAGCTGCTGCTGCCAGTGCTGCTGCTGAAGAGCGCGCAGCAGCGCCGTCGGTGAAGCAGCAGTATCGGTGGAAGGTGGATTCGGCGCCTGTGGTCGCAGCAGAGGGGATGATGCTCGAGTGGCTGGCAGAGCCACGTGTCGGCCTGCTACTGGACCTCCAGGCGACACGGCGCCAGCTGGCGAAACGTCTGGGGATGGATGAGCTCGCTTCTGCACGCGCTACAGCAGCCAGGGCGGGGCGTGCCGGCCGCCGTGCTACAGCCGGCCGCGAAGCACTATGGTGGTGCTGCTGGCAGTGCTCCTCTTGCTTCGCCTCTTACCGTCACGCCGTGTCCGTTGCTGCGTTCCTCGTGCTTGTCGCCAAGTTCCCCCGCTTCGTCACTCTCTGGCGCGCGAACGTGCGCTCTCCCAACTCTACTCTCGTGAGTCTGGCGTTTCAGTTTGGCGCGGGGCGGCAGGCTGGGGGCGACTGCTTGGCGTCGCTGCTGGTGCAGGTGCTGGGAGTGAAGGGGAAGCAGCAGCTGGAGACCGGCTTTGCTGCCCACCTGCTGCCGCTGCTGCCGGGGGGGAGGGACGCGCATGGGGTGACGGGAGAGGAAGGGGGAAGTCCGGGTAGGGAGGTGGGAGAGGGGAAGGAGTGGAGGGAGGGGTTGGGAGGGGTGGAGTGGGAGGAGTATTTGCAGCGCGTGGGGGAGATTGCCGCCCAGGGAGGGCTGGCAGGCGAGCAGTACCGCTGCTGCTGCTCGCAGTGTGGTGAAGGCGGGGGAGCAATTGCGAAGGATAGTCGGGGCAAGAAGAAGAAAGGATGTCGAAACAGCAACAGCAGCAGCAGCAGCAGCAGCGACACTGGTAGTGTCGCTGGCAGTGGCAGTGGCAGTGGCATGGTGATATCCGGTGTGGACCCCACCGAGTTCGCTGTCAAGTGTGCTTTCAACTTCGCTGAACCGTGGTTTGCGAGTTGTGGTGCGAGTATGTTTAACGAGTCAGCTAATAACAGGTACAAGGAGAGGGTGGAGGATGCTGCAGTGGAGGAGGCGTGGAGCCGGCTGGCTGTGGGAGTGGTAAATGAGGAGAGGAGTGGTGTGATTCGCGGAGAGGGGAGCGGAAGGAAGGGTGCTGCGAGAGGGGGTGGGAGTGGAAAAGAGAATTTGGAGCAGAAGCAAGGAAAGGGTGCTGGTAAGGAAGCTAAGGATGAAGGGAAAGCAGTGGGAGAAAAGGCAGCAGCAACGGCAGCAGCAGCAGCAGCAGCAGCAGCAGCAGCGGGAAGCAGTGCCAGGCTAGTGCCCGTGAACAGTAACGCAGTGGTTGGGGTGTTCACGTATCGAGTCACCTCCCTGCTGCGATGGGTGCGGCTTTACGGCCCCAGGGTCAACCCTCCCAAGTACTGTGGCTGCTTCACTCCGAAAAGGCCAAACACCGCTCTCCCACACCCAGTCCACGACCTTCCGAACTTGCTTCTCAGGTTCGGCGCCGTGCCGAAGCCGGTCACTGGCCCAGGCTCGGAAGGTGAAGCAGCGAGCGGGTGGGAGGAGTTCCCAGAGGGGGACAGGGAGGAGCTGGAAGCCTATGAGGAGGATCCGTGGGGGGATATGGGGCTCAACACCTTTAACACGGGAGATTTCCGGGATGGTACACCTGAGGTGGAAGAGCACACGAAGGAGGCCAACGAGAGGTACATCATGATGCCCCCGCCTGACGTCACCCCTCTCTGGAAAAGCCCCAGCCCTCCCTACTACGAAACGCTTGCTGCCCGCGTGGAGAAGTTTCTTAGAAGATTCGCCCCGAGGAGGCTGGCAGTGGAGGGGAGCAATGGCCGTCTAGCATCCGCCATTGCCACATGGGTGGGGCGCTTGGGGCTGGGCAAGCGCAGCTGGGCAGCACTGGCCTTAGGACCTCTCTCGGATGCGAAGCTGCAGATGCTGCTGCGGTCTCAACAGGAGATGGACGAGTTTCTGGAGATGCTGGCTGGGGATCTTACTCCTGTGCCCGCCTGCACGCGCTGCATGTGCTGCGCTGCTCTGTACTACGAGTTTGTCATCATGGTGTCCCTCGCTGCGACCTTCGCCCTCCGCCCATCCGTCATGCTGCTGCGCTGCATCCTCTCGCTCTTCCCACCCTCCTCGCCGCAGCTCAAGGCCCTTCTGGCTGCTGTGGGCGTGGCGCCCATCCCTGCAGCGGTCCCAGACTCGCTGGTGGCGCCGCTGCTGGAAGGCGTGATGGAGGAGAAGCGCGTGCGCTTCCTGTTCCATGCCATCAAGCTGCTCTACCAGAACCAGTCGTATGCCAAGCTCCTGGAGCCTATCGAAGAAGGGTCTGGGGTGAACATTTACGAGCCGCGGGGCAGGCAGGGGAAGCAGAGGGAGGGGGAGGAGGAGTGGTGCATCTGGGAGGAGGTGGACAGCTGGCGGATTGCAGCGGAGAGGGCTTGGCCGGTGCTGGAGCTCCGTAGCGTGGCAGTACTGGAGCTGGATACTGGCGGGGCGGCTGAACGGCAGGTGAAGGTTTGTGAGCGCATGCGGCGTGTGATGGCGGAAGAGGAGGTGAAGAAGAGGAAGCAAGCTCAGGCTGGCGGTGCTGCTGGGGAGGGCGCGAGTGGGAGCAGCAGCACTGGAAGCTGCAAGGGCATGGGGAAGGGGAAGAGTGTGGGGGGAATGGAGGGGAAAAGCGGGAGTGGGGAGGGGCATGGGGGGAGGGCAGGGGCATCATACCTGGAGCCGTGGCCGGGGGGGGTGAATCCTCTGGCGTGTTTGAGGGAGATGCTGCTGGGGGAGACCAGCCACTGCCCCCAGGCCCACGTGGACGCCCTTTCTGCTGCCGACACTGCTGCTGCTCCCCATGCTGCTGCCACTGGTGAGGGGAACAGAGTTGGGAGCAAGGCAGGGCCGCGAGGCTGTGCCTCCCCGCGGTGTGGCAAGGTGGAAGGGGCAGGCGTGCAGCTGAAGCTATGCTCGCGGTGTGGCAAGGTTGCCTACTGCAACAGGGAGTGCCAGAAGGCCCACTGGTCCTCGCACAAGCTCACGTGCCAGCCCAAGGCAAAGGGGGGAGGTGAGGCATAGATAGAGCGCATAGCTTGTGGAGAATGCCATGTTTGGGTGGTGGTTGCTAACCTGGGTTCTCCCCCAACTGATGGCAGCCTGGGTATTCTCCCAAATGAAAAGCGCTGATGTGATATACTTTTGCTTTCTGGAACCACCATCGTACGAGGTCACCAACGCTGCATTCTCTTTTCTGCAGAAGGCTTTTGAAAAGCACATTTGCTGTATTGTTTGATTGAGGAATTTTCTGATGTAGAAGCCCAGTATTTTCTTCACATCATTCAACGTGTTGGGTACATTGAGGATAAAAAGTCTAGCCGTTGTTCCCAACACTCGGAAGGATTTGCATTTGCATCGAAGCGCGGAATTGTCAGACTTGGCACGACTCGGCGAATAGATTTGAGGGATACACACGCAAAGCATGTGCTGCTTGCAAATTGGTACGTGTAGCAGAAAGGTTGGTGGGAGGGAAGACGTGCTGTAACTTGTACCCAGCTGTAACAAATAGAGCTGCTGCAACCGTGACCCACGCGTGAGGGCAGCTGTGCATTCAACCTACAGCACCCTCGCGACGACCAGAGAAGGTCTTTGATGGTTTTGACCGGGTGCACTTGTTATCAACATCATGCCTCTCGATATCCGTGAATACGTCGCACCGTTTCTGCACTGCGTTTTAATCTTCTCCGCGTTCCGCCTCGCCAGCACTAGTACCTTGCAGTCCGTAGTCCAGCCTCCGAACTCGCAAGCTCCCATCAGCACGTATGGCGCCACTAATTTCAGCACTACAATTTCTGTTACCAGTACCAACGAGCTCGACTTCAACGGAACGTTTGAGGAAGATGATTTCGGGGAAGTTAAGGAGGCAGAACGGCATCCTCGCGAGCTGATGGCGATCCCGCTAGGGCACAGCCGCAACGCGACTGCGGACGCCAAGAAGCTGCAGATTGCCGGCGCGCTTCGCTACCCCGTTTGTCCACGCGTCCGAGGTACTGCTACGCGCACAGAGGAAGACGAACGATCCAACAGTTCCAGGGACGGCAGTTACCACCACCATCACCTGTTCTCGTATAGGATGAACCAGCGTACGAAGTGGAGTGTGTTCTCACTCATCGGCGCCGCGGCGGCAAGACCCTCGAGTTCCTGATACGCTGGAAGGGATATGACCCCACTGAGGACATTTGGGTTGCAGAAGCTGATATGGGCAACGCACGCCGTGCTCTCAAGGACTATCTTGTCAAGCAGGGTGTATCTCACGCCACCCAGCTTTGAGGGGGGGACGTGTAAGAGTACAACAGCTAATGCTGGCTTTACTAACTTGCTTGAACTTTATTATGCTATATCTAGCTTGGGCTTTATTTATCATGCATAGATATGCTTGATTTCCTAGGTTAGGTGCATTCCTATATTTTATTATAGTTATAGCACCGAACCAGGTTACGTGTACCGAACTCAAACCTTTTCGGTTGCCACCGAATTGATTTCTACCGAGTTTGGGAAGGTTCTGTTCGGGACGCTTTGCGACCCTCAGAACATTCGCGTAACACCTGGGTTACCTGCCTTGTGTCGAGCCTATATATAGCCTCGTGTTGTACCCAGGTGAAGCATTCAATTCAAACCCACTTTTCTGAGCTCTACCCTAGATCCTGTTGGCCTCCAGCGGCAGGTCCCCCAGCTCTAGTAACGCCACTCTGAAGGCTCCAGCGCCGAGAAAACCACTCGCGCAGCTGCGATGGAGAGAGAGGCTCCTGCCGTGACGAGGCACCCGTAGGACGACCAGCAGACAAAGTACCTACAGGCCCAGCACACACAGGCTCATCACCCCCAGGCTCAGCACCCCCAGGCTCAGCACCCCTAGGCTCTGCACGCTCAGACTCAGCACCCCTAGGCTCCGCACGCTCAGGCTCAGCACCCCCAGGCTCCGCACCCCCAGGCTCCGCACGCTCAGGCTCAGCACCCCTAGCAGCACCACCCCCAGAGTCGACAGCTACCTCGACAGGCTCGACAGGGTCTACCTGGGACACACCTGAGGGAGCAGGACCCTGAGGGGGGAGGGGGTCTACCGGAGGAGGACCTGGTGCGAGGAAGAGCGGCGGGGGAGGGAGAGGGGCAGTGCGGTAGGGGAAGAGACGGTAAAAGGAAACCGACTCGTCAAACGTGACGTCTTGAGAGGGCAGGACACGGCGCGAGGTGGGGTGGTAAAACTGCCACCCAGGCGCATCAAGGGGGAAACCAAGGAAGACACAGGGAATGGTGCGGAGGTATCGCGGACAAACGCACGAGATCCCTAGACCCGGAACACCGACGCATCGCCAACCTCTCCCGTCCAACGCAGTGTCGGCGAGGCCTCCGGCAAAGAGACACGGGGCCAGAGGTTGAGCTGGTACCGGATCGCAAACGGCCACATAAAATGGGGGGCAGCCGCATGGATCATGGAGGTAGAGCGACCTCCATGACTAAGCCAATGCGGCGCTCAGCAACCCCATTCTGTTGCGGAGAGGCCGGAAGCATGAACGACTGGGTGATTGTGAGGATCTAGGATCGAGCTCAGAAAAGAGAATTGTAATTGTCTGATTCACCTGGGTACAACACGAGGCTATATATAGTCTCGACACAAGGCCAGTTACCCAGGTGTTACGCAAATGTTCTGAGGGTCGCGAAGCGTCCCGAACAGGACCTTCCCGAACTCAGTAGAAAGCAATTCGGTGGAAACCGAATAGGCTTGAGTTCGGTATACGTAACCTGGTTCGGTGCTATAACAATAATAAAGTATAGGAATGCACCTAACCTAGGAAATCAAGCATATCTATGCATGATAAAATAAACCCAAGCTAGATATAGCATAATAAAGTTCAGGCAAGCTAGCAAAGCCAGCATAAGCCGTCATACTCTCACAGTGATGCCCTTCCTACGACAAAAGTCCCGCAAGAGTTCGTAGGCAAAATCACCACCTCTGTTAGAGTGAAGACGCATGATCGGAAGGTCCGTGTCGAACCGCTCGCGGAGTTGGAGACGGACAGCGCAGATCCAAAGGATCAAAACATCAGGGACCTCCCCTTTGCTGCGCAAGGGGAAGACCGTGGTGTAACGCGAGTAGTCGTCATCAACCAGCCGAAAGTACCGCTCGCGGCCCTGTCCACGGACGCGGACTGGTCCGCACACATCCATGTGGATAGTCTGCAGGGGAGCAGTCATCGGAGGAAACGAGGAGGAGTGAGGAGCGGCGTGCTGCCGCCCCTCGACACAGGGAAGGCAGGGAGGGGCAGGTGAGGGCGGGAGGGGAGGCAGAGACCTGGGAAGACCAGAGATAAGGAGACGGGAGTGCATGCCACGGAGGCGTGGCAGGGAGGGGTGACCAAGGCGGTGGTGCCAAAGGAGAGTTAGGTGCGATAGGGCGCGATACGAGCAAGGGGCTGCAAGCTGACCTGACGCAGACGCAGCTATCTTAGGAGGCTCAGTAGTCAGTGTATACAGGCTCGACCCAGGCCGACGGGTGAACGTGGCCGGGTGAACGTGGCCAGGTGACGAGTAATGCGTACATGGCAGTGAGGATAGCGTCATAGTCTAGAGCAAAGATATCCACACCCTGCCTAAGCAGCTCTAGCCAGCGGGGGAGCTCCGCCGCATCGCCAAACTCTGCACGCCAGGTGTCGCTCAAATAGGAGAAGCAGCGGGACTGTGTGTGACCAGCTGTCCCGCAAGTCTGACCAGCCCGATCACATGTGCGAATGACGTACGAGCAGGGAGCACTACTCCGAGACGCCCCATGCTGAGCGTACCACTCACGAAGCTGCTGGGGCGTAAGGGTCTCGCGCGGACGCCGTTGCAACTGCATCTGGCCACCGCCAGAAAATCCCCTCCGAACAAATCCACGGCAACTGCCACAACTGCCGCCGCCACTACCCCAACTAGCGTACCACTCACGAAGCTGCTAGGGCGTGAGGGCCTCGCGTGGACGCCGCTGGAGCTGCAACTGGCCACCGCCAGAAACTCCCCACCGAACAGCTCCATCGAGACTACCACTACGACCGTCGCCACCATTCCCACTGCTGCCACCACCGCCACCACCACTCCCACCGCTTCCACGAAGAGACGTCATAGTGGGCGAAGTAGGGAGGTGTGCGGGAAGGGCTTGGCGACGCGGCAGCGATCGGCGCGCAGGCAGGGCAGGGCAGCGCGGCAGCGAGCGGCGCGCGGGCAGGGTGGCGGCGCGGCAGCGAGCGGCACGCAAGCAGGGCAGGGTGCGCGGCGGCGAGCGGCGCGCGGGCAGGGCTGTGGCGCAGCGGTGAGCGGCGCGCAGACAGGGCAGGCGGCGCGGCGGCGAGCGGCACGCCTGCAGGGCAGGGCGCGCGACGGCGAGCGGCACGCGGGCAGGGCGACGCGGCGGCACGTGGTGGCGGGCAGGGCGCGGGCGGCGCGTGAGCAGGGTGACGCGGCGGCGAGCGGCGCGCGGGCAGGGCAGGGTGCGCGGCGGCGAGCGGCGCGCAGGCAGGGCAGGCGGCGTGGCGGTGAGTGGCGCTCGGGCAGGGCAGGGCGCGCGGCGGCAAGCGGCGCGTGGGCAGGGCAGGGCGCGCGGAGGTAAGCGGCGCGCGGACAGGGTAGGGCGTGCGGCAGCGAGCGGCGCGCAGGCAGGGCAGGGCAGGGCATGCGGCAGCGAGCGTCGCGCAGGCAGGGCAGGGCAGGGCGTGCGCGGGCAGCGCGACGCAGGGCAGGGCTTGCGCGGGGCAGCGCGACGCAGGGCAGGGCGGCGCGACGTGTGGGGTAGCGCGATTCGGTGGGCCGTCCTATGAGAGGACCTGCTCTGAAACCATGTAAGAATGTGAAAGCAAGGATGAATGAACTAGCAGCAGGATGGGTACAAGTACTAACCCAAAATTGGGTTGTACCCCATATGGGCTACCCCACTATAGCCTACACAACATGCAACATCTAAGTTTGACACGTGGACCTCCACGAAGCAGCTCCAGAGCCCAGGCTGAAGCAGTACCCCTGAGTAGACCTCTGAGTCTCGGCGTCGTCAGCAT